ATGTTTGCATGGCTGTTGAGGTGGTTGTGTTGTAAACATGGATTCTAAGGATGACTATAGGATAGGAGCCTCTACTTGTGGCTGTATTTTAGGTTCTGATAACTGATCACCTTTCAACCTCTTACTTCATATTTCTGTTGTCTGGAAGGCAGTCTTTGCGATCACAAATTTTGAAGGTTCATGGTATGCTGTGTTTTAATTATGCTAATTACATAATTTACGTACTTAAACCAACTTTCAGTTGGTGAAATCACAAGGACTATTTCTTGGAGTTAGCTTCCTATGGTTGTTCTTAGTAAGATCTGTTCTCTCACTAATTTTTTGCCTAAGTTTCTTATTATTGTGAGTGATGTCAAAAGGGTAGAACCTTTTTTTCTTTTTTTGACAAACTTTTTTTTTTTTTTTTTGCCACTGTAGACTTAAACTTTGTTAATATATGAAAGCTACACTTATTTCCAATTCAAGGTAATTATATCTGTACTTTTTGATGTTTTTTCTGTCATAGACTCTTGGCAGCTTCAAGAATAGAGGATTATAATGAAGACCATATCATGATAAAACATCCTTGATTTTGTGTTTCAGAGTACCAGTGAACACAAATAGAATTAGTATATACTGTATATATGAAGGATTATTTTGAAAAAAAATCCAAAAGGAAGAACTCACAAGGACCACCTATATAAAGTTATTAAATATTTGACAACACTGCATTGGACTGTGTGTTGGGCTCCCAGATAGATGGGAGAACATATATTTGAAAAGGAGAGTTACTCATTTGACTTATACTTTTTGAGTAGTATAAACTAAACTTTGTATAAGAAGTGAGTAAAAATCTTCAGTGAATGTTTTCTTAAGCCATAGTTCTTAAGGTACAATTTCAGAGAATGATAAGTACATAAGATTGTGAATGTATTAAAGCAAATGCCTCTTTATTTCAGTGAATCAGAATGAGAACATTTCTTAGTTTTATCGGATTCTTCATTTGTACTTGTTTTTAGATGCAAGATTTTGCTGTTTATTGACGATTTTGCTGTTTGTGTAGATGTTGAATCTCTTTGCTTTTTCTTAAATAGCAATGATAGGAATTTCCCTGTGGAATATGAACATTAAAATTGAAATGTAGAAGGGCCGGCATGGTGGCTCATGCCTGTAATCCCAGCACTTTGGGAGGCCGAGGTGGGCGGATCACTTGAGGGTCAGGAGATTGAGAACAGCCTGGCCAACATGGTGAAACCCTATCTCTACTAAAAATAAAAAAATTAGCCAGGCATGGTGGCGGGCACCTGTAATCCCAGCTACTTGGGAGGCTGAGGCCAGAGAATCACTTGAGTCCCAGAGGTGGAGGTTGCAGTGAGCCAGGATCATGCCCCTGCACTCCAGTCTAGGTGACAGAGTCAGATCCTATCTCAAAAAAAAAAAAAAAAAAAAAATGGAGGTTGTAGAAGTGTAGAAATTAAAATGTAGACTACAGAATAGATTGTAAGGTTTAGAAAAAAATTCAGGCTTTCATCATTTAACTGGTGTACTTGACTATCTGTGAAGATTTGTCCTAATTTTATATGGCTTTGTACATGGAAGCTTGGAATCGAGGGGCCAGAGAGGGAAAACTCTTTGCTAGCACTCTTGTTTGTACATTCCTGAAGAGTTTATTAGAGAAAAGCAAAGGTCAGCTGTAATCCCTAATGAAAGAATAAGAATATTGGTTTCTCAGTCAGGCATACTGTGGTTGGAAAGAGGTACTGTTCATTAAAAAAATTACATTCTGGATTAGTAAATCTCATATAAAGTCTGAATTTTTACTATTTACTAATGTTAATCAGTTTTGTTTGTTGCATAGCTGACAGACTTACTGCTTCTGAAAACTAATAATATTCCAGTGTTCAGCAGGGTCTAGAATTCTGTGGTAATAATTAATGGTCATTGTTTCTATAGAGATTTTATTACATTATCCTTTGGCTTCTATTGCTAAGTACTATGTAAGTCTAAATTTCTTCTTCCTACTCTTTTCTGTGTTGCTTTCAAGACTTGTTTGAGTTACACAGTGTTACTGCAAATATGTTTAAATATCTTTTATTCTGTTCAAATTTTGTTGCCTTTCCTGAATTGGAAGATTCATAGCTTTCAGCAGTTTTTGAAAATTCTCAGTCACTTTGTTTCTTTGTTCTTTCCTCTCCTTGAATTCCCATTTGATTTATTAGACATTCTCATGGTATCCTTTATGTCTGTTAATTTTTCTTTCATATTGTCCCTTATGTATAATTTTTTGTGGTACATTGTCAGTTTTTTAATCAAGTCTGTCTTGTTTGATAATTCAGCTTTATATAGTTATCAGGCCATTTGGCTTTTAATTTCTGGGGGTGTTTGTATGTCTGTGTGTGCATATGTATGCATACACATAATTTATAAAGTTCAAGTTCTAATTTTTCTTTTTTTTTAATGAGTGTTTTCTGTGTTTCTGATTTCTTTTATAACTCTAATGGCTAACATTTTTGTTTTAATAGTCTTTCACATTCTGTTACCATTTTTTTGGGATCTACTCTCTGTATGTGCTACTCTTGTTCATTTTGACTGGAAGTTCACCTTTGACAGGAGAATATCTGCAAATACTATACTGTACAGACTAGATTGGATAGAGGTAGTTTTTTTCCCAGAGAGATTTTTCCTTCCCAAGAGTTTTTCCTGAGTCACAGGGCTTTTGTGGCTGTTGATCCATTTTTTTTTTTCTTTTTATTGAGACGGAGTCTAGCTCTGTCGCCCAGGGCAGAGTGCAGTGGCGCAGTCTTGGCTCGCTGCCAACTTCTGCTGCACAGGTTCAAAGCGATTCTCATGCCTCAGCCTCCGGAGTAGCTGGGATTAACAGACTCCCGCCACCATGCCCGGCTAATTTTTTGTATTTTTAGTAGAGATGGGGTTTCACCATGTTGGCCAGGCTGTTCTCAAACTGCTGACCTCAGGTGATCCGTGAGCCATTTTTATGTTAATATTTGTGGTAGGAAGCGGGCAGTAGGGGAGTGTTCTGGATTGGCAGAGACTGTAGATAATAATTTATGATTGTAAAATCTTAATGGAGACTTTTGGGTTTTTGAAAAGCAAACAAGCTTTCTCTTGTGTCTTTTTCCCATTTGTGCCAACACTACTTATTAAATCTATTTTTTTTTCAACTTACTGATTTGAAATGGCAGTGTGATAATATACTGAACTTTTTGTTTGTATTTGGGCTATTTTGCCTTTAATTGGGTGTTCTTGGACAAGGTTTAAAAATTGTTTTCATAAGCAAAACTTTTTTAGTAGAGTCATTTTTGACAGTATTTGATATTCTCATTTACATTTCATGTTTAGTTTGTGAGATGTTTTAGGTATTATGTCTTCTGGGGATAAGCAAGAATAAATGTTTTAGGTATTATGTCTTTTCTGGGGATAAGCAAGAATAAATTATTCTTGAATTTACATTTGATTTATTGGACATTCATCATTGTATCCTTTATGAATAATTTATTCTTGCTTATCCCCAAGAAAGACATAATACCTAAAACATCTGATCATTTTAGTACTTCCATTGTTGAGTGACCTAAGGTGATCCACCTTAAATTTAATTTCGTTAAGTTTAAGCATCAGTTATTAAGACTACCTGGTGGTAGTGGGATTGGACAGATTTGTTAAGGTTAGGGTAGAGATAGGACCACTGGGAGAAGTTACAGGGTGATGCAATTTTGGATCAAAACTAAAAAGAACTTGTCTTTCTAAAGAAATACAGGGGGTTTATGGGAGGTGTTCATCCCTGCTTTTCAAGCATAGGCTGGCTGCCTGTTTCAGCTGGGTCTAATCTCTGAGTGGCTAGTTGGATTAGATGGCCCTTTCTTACTCAGGAATCTTATGAAAGGAAAAGTAGGTCAAGATGGTAGATTTTAAGGGGAGGAAAGCTTCTGTACATGGTGTAGCTGTTTTACGGTTACATTATTGGTATGAATTTCGTGTTGTAGTGTTAATTTTTGAACAGTTTTGATGACTTATGTTCTTTTGTCTTTGAAAACTGATTTTGTGTGTTGATTTGAAAGACTATTTTAAAAAGTTATTAATTTTTTTGGTATTGAAGCTTTCAGTTTATCTAATTATAAATTAGATTTTTTTTTACAGAATAAACTTTTAACCAGATTATTTCCTATGGAATTGTTTTTAAATGAGCAGTGCCTTTTCCTGAGAAAATGGGCTGGTTTGGGCATGATGAGTAAGCAAAAGTCTGAAAGATATTTTCAGCAGCTATCATCTCTGCAATTCCTTTTCAGTTTCTTGAGAAAGCTGTTCAAGTGGATTGATCTATTCTCATTAAAGGGGAAAAAGTTTGATTAAAAAATAGAAGTCTCATTTGTTGTGACATGGTACCTAATGGAGAAATTAAATTTCATTACTCATTTCTGGCATTAGTTGTATTCATTTCAGATTGGGGTAGCAGTACTTTAGAATGGATATTGCTGAAGTAAGGGGTGTGTTAATAAGATGTGAGTCATAGAAATAACTGCCTTGCAGTTTAAAAGGAGAAATTGTACCATAGCTTTGAAATTTTAGTGTGGTCTATAGAGTTAATCTTAGAAAAGATACTGTAAATGGGATTCCCATGCTGAGGAATTCAGTGTTTGGATTTCCTGGATTGTTTTGTCTTTTGCTTACTTCGAATGTTTTTCCTCTTATTTTAAAAGATAATTGTTTAATTGTGTTGTGCACTCCCGGGCCATTACACTTTTGGTGTAGTGACTGACTAGGACAATAGGAATTTAGATGAGTTTTTGCATTTTGATGGCCATTTCAGGAAATGGTTAATGCTTTGTCTATTTTTCTCATTGAGTTTTTTGTTTTTTTAAATCGATTGGTAGAATCATTTATTTTTAAAAATTCTTACTGCAAATGGAATATACTTACAAAAATTTAAACATATAGAACTATGTAAAATGAGCCTATCTATTTTCTTGTGTTTTCAAGTACTTTATATTTTTTCTTTTTTTCAGATAGATTTTCGCTCTGTCACGCAGGCTGGAGTGCAGTGGCATGACCTTGGCTTACTGCAACCCTTTGCCTCCTGGATTCGAGTGACTCTCATTGCCTCAGCCTCCTGAGTAGCTGGGATTGTAGGTGTGTGCCACCGCACTCAGCTAAGTTTTGTATGTTTGGTAGAGACAGGGTTTTATCATGTTGGCCAGGCTGGTCTTAAACTCCTGCCTCAAGTGATCCACCTGCTGTGGCCTCTGAAGGTGCTGGGATTATAGGTGTGAGCCACCACGCCCAGCCCTCAAGTGCTTTATATTTTTTCTTATGTTTGAAACTTTATTTGGATGCTTTTAGTTGATTTGAATGATACAGCCTTCTACTGATTGGAAATAACTTAGAGTAAACTGAATTTTTGTGTGTATTTGGGTTTGTTTTAGATTTTGAATTCAATTATTATTTTCTTATCTTTATCATACTGCAGTATGTTGCTGCCTTGCTATATTAGTTGAAACCGTTTACTGTATCATAGAATTCTGTGCATGTGTATGTGAATAGAGAATAAGTGCTCTGGAATTTTAGGAGGAGAACTAGCTGTGGACATGGTACTTGAGCTGGAAGAGTAGAACCACATGGAGGCTCAAGTTAGGCTTTTTGCTCTGGTTAGTTTTGTAGATACTATATACTTCCTTTCTCAGTGAGATTATAAATTCATTTAAAGTCAGCAAATTTATTTGTGAACACTGTTAAATATCCTGCATTCAAAAACCTAAGTGGAAAATTAAAACGAGTGCAACTTACAAAGAATGAAAACTACAACAATAATTGTAATGTGTTTTATAAGACCTTCAATACTGTTTTTTGTTTTTGTATTTTTGTTTTTTGAGACAGGGTCTCCCTCTGTCACCCAGGCTAGAGCACAGAGGTGAAATCATGACTTACTTTAGCCTTGAGCTCCTGTGCTCAAGTGATCTTTCTGCGTTGTTCTCCCGAGCAGCTGGGGCTACAGGTGCATGCCACTACGTCTAGCTAATTTTTTATTGTTTGTAGAGACAGGGTTCTGCTATGTTGCCCAGGATGGTCTTGAACTCTGGGCTCAAGCAATCCTTTCTTGTTGGCCTCCCAGAGTGCTAGAATTACAGACGTGAGCCACTGTGCCTGGCCACCATCTTTTTTACACTTATTCTCTGCTTATGACTTTGCTTCTCATTTCTTAAAGAGAATCGTAGCATTAGGAACAGAATTTTCACAAACGTCTATACCATCTACCTCCTTTCCTGTCTTGGGTCTGTGCTTTTGTATTCTTCCTTCTCTGTGTTCCTACAGGTGAACTGTGTGGTACCATTTAAGGCCAATCACTCTATCTACTTGTCCAAATTCTGTCCTTTCTTGCTATTTGAAAACATTGCCTCTCACTCCTGCATCATTAGTCTTTCCCTTTTTAGTGAATTGTTTTTTTGTCAGCATATTATCATGCTGTAGTTTCTCCCATCTTTAAAAACCAAACTCTTAACCTCATATTCTCCTCCAAGTTCCATCTTATTTCTCTGCATACTTTCACAGGAAGGCTGCTTCAAAGAGTTGTCCACGTTTGCTAGAGTTCTTTTAACTTTTAAATTCGTTTCAATCAGGTTTTGATCACTACTACTCTACTGCTTTGGTCAAAGTCACCAGTAACGTCTATGTTGCTAAATTCAGAAGTCAATTACTAGTTTTCATTGTGTTTTACTTACCAACCCCATTTGACAAAATTGATCCATCTCTCCTCCTTAATAGACCGTATTCATCTAGTGTCCAGGACAGCACACTCCTGGTTTTCTTTCTACCTCTCCTCTCTCCCTTGAGAGTTCTTCATCTTCCTGTTGTTGAATTTCAGTGCTTCAGTCTTGAGACCTGGTCTCTATTTATACCCATTTGTTTGGGATTTTATCCAAGTTTATGGCTTTAAGTATAGTCCATTTGCTGAATACTTCCAAATTTATATCTCTAGCCTTCACTTCTCACGTGACAACTCTTTTATTTAGCTGTCTATTGGACATCTCCACTTACCTAAAACCTAACTCCTTATCTTCAACCTTAACCATGTCCCTGCCACATTTCCCCTATCTCAGTAAAGGGCAGCTCCTTTGTTTTTGGCCTAGTCTAAAAGCTTTGGAATTGCCTTTGGCTTTGTTTATTCTCTCATACCCTACATCCAGTCCATCAGCAAATCATCTTGGCTCTACCTTTATAAAGTATCAAAAATTTGACCACCTCACCTGCTACCATCATCTCTAAATTATTTCAGTTGTCACCTAACAGTTTTCCCTGATTTCACTTTCTCCCTACACCCTTCCCTAGTCACACCCCTCCAGTAGTTTTCCCATATTACTGAGAGCGTTAGCCACAATCCTTTTCCTGTAAGAAACAACATGAATTGTTAACCACATCCCCTCTCCCTTTCAAATTCTCTTTGACCTCATCAGTTTATCCTTCTGTTCATTCTGCCTGAACCATGTTGTCCTTACTGCTCTTGCTCATATATAGCAGGTATGTTACTGTCTCATGGTCTTTGTGCTTGCTCTTCTCTCATTCACTGTATTTTGCTCTTCACTTAGATACGGATAGCAACATGGCTCTATCTTTCACTTATTTCAGGTCTTTATTGAGATGTCATTTTTTAAAAATGAAATCATCTCTGACCATTCTACTCTAAATTTTAACCATTGGGAGTTTCAGACCAGCCTGGGCAACATGGCAAAACCTTGTCTCTAAATAATTAAAAAAATAAATAAAATTTAACCGTTGTCCACATCTTCCTGTTCTCCGTATTTCTCTTCCCTGCTTATCACTATTCTTGCTACTTATTGCCCTTTCATATACTGCATACTAATTGTTGGTCCATCTTACCACTTAGTAGAATGTTAGCTCTGTAAGTGCAGGGTTTGTGGCCCTTTTACTGCTGTCTACTCAGAATGTCCTAGAGCAGTCCTGACATATGGTCAGTGCTAAATAACAAATGAATAATAAAGACTATTGTGGAAGAGAGTTGAAATTACATATTCATAGGTTTGATTTAAGCTGGGTTTTGAAGGTTAGGTGGAGATTTCATACAAAGGACAAGGCAAAGATTTTTAGATTTGATTGCCGGGATGAGGTGAGGTGCTTTAAATGGAACTTTAGAAAGTGGTTCCTCTGATTGCCTGATTTAGAATCCATAGTAGCCTCTTCCTGCTGATTTTTCCCACTTGGTTGACTGCTGATCTTTTCTAGCTGGTGGTCCCATATTTTCTTCAAAATCTGATCTACAACTCCCAGATAGGAATGTATTCCTGTATTCTTAATCTTGGCAAGGGGTTTTTCTCATTTATGGAACCTTCCAAGCATGACATGTGGGAATTGTCTTACTAGAGTCCTCACTCACTTTCAAATAGTTGAGTTTTCTTGTTAGTTGTTCCACCCAAGTATTTCTGTGTTGAAATTGATTTACTGTCATCAGATCTACTTAAACTATTGAAAGTCATTTAAATTGATCTCCTTGCAACTATTTTTAACCTATCCATTTGGTTTGATTTATGTGTTTGTTTTATTTATTTATTTGAGACGGAATATTGCTCTGTCGGCCAGGCTGGAGTGCAGTTGGGGATCTAATTCTTTAGCTTGTTTCTTCTGCCTCTTGTTCATGATGGCTTGTCACATGTTCTGTTATTTTTTTGTGGGCTCATATCTGGATAATAATTTTTAAAAACCTTAAGGAGCCTGACTTGGGGAAGGATTCCACGGAAGAAGTTACGCATTTGCTTCTACCATGGGTACTCTGGGCACCACCAACTGGGGGCCACTTGGATCTTGGCATATCCAAGATCATGCAAGTAGTTTGGACCCTAAAGCCATGTGAGAAGAAACTCATGGTTAAAATTTTTAAGTAAGACTGAGTGAAGGCCGAATTGGAACTAAAAGTCAAGACTCTTGCCTTCCATTTTACTGCTTCATTATATTGCTATTCACTAATCTTAAAATAATTTACTTTTGCTCAGGATGTATCTGCAATATAACACGCATACTATATTCGAAGGTTATCAACTACATGATGCCTAATACTTAATTTTAGCAGGAGGAGTTCATTGTAGCTAAACCTTTTGCGGAATGGAAATTTAATTAAACGATACTTGGCTACCAATAGTAAACTTTTTATCACTGTAGAAAACTTAACCATAAATCATTTTTCTTAAAAAAAGATTAACGTGTCTGTTAAAAAAAACATGAGATAGTATTGTGGGTTTAAAGAAAGGTAAACATGATATGAAGAGTGGCATGTTTGGAATGCCAAGTATTTAGATTCAGTGTGATCAGATTACAGATAGCTTTTTTTGTTGTTGTTGTTTTTTTAACCTATGAACATTATTTTTACAGATAACCTATAATAATAGCTTTCAGCTTAGGCCTCTCAGCTACTTCTGTCATATTTTAACTGTATTCAAATAACGAAATCAAGCTCTTACTTATAGGCTACTCTGGGAGCCTGTATATCTTAAGGGTGTATTCGTTTAGTTGTCCATTGATTTATACCTGAACTTTTATGGAATTTTGCGTTCCTATGTTGAAAATTACCTTTCCCTCAACTTACTGCTTTTGTTTTTTTCAAATGTGTCTGCTTGCTTTGTATGTTTTTTGGTGGAAAAATACTTTCACTGTGTTCAGATTTCAGTCTTGAATTTTGATTTGTTAAGTTTTTGCTAATGGTTTTTTTGAGTCACCCTAACTGATAAAATTGTGTCAATTGGAGGACAGAAATATTGATAAAATTTTTTTTGTGTCATTTGCTTTCAATGTTTTTAATGTGAAGAAAAGGATAGCAGAAGTAAGAGCAACTGAAACCCTATAGTAAGAAAATATAATTCAAAATTGTTGTATTACTTGAAATTTAATAGTATACTTATCAAACTGCCTCAGTTTTTTCTCATAATATGAATAAGTCTTATTTTTATGTAGTTAAGCTGTTGAAGTTTAGTACTGTGCATTCAGATTGGTTACTTACTATTTTAATGTGAAATTTTAAAAGTTGAACAATTAAAACAGTAAAATGTTTGTAATAATCTCCCTTCAAAAAAATGTAATGATTCCCGTTTTTTAGATATCATCTATGAGTGTATATAATACTCAACACAAAAATTTTAATCTTTCTTCTATGTAATGTATTTTGCTGCATTACAATCTTAATTATTTTAAATGGTCGTATGATGTTTCTTCACATGTCCCACACTGAAACAGTTTCATGGTTTTATTATATAAACAGTGTGATCTGTCTTGTATATACATAAATATATTATCCTTTTTGGTTAAGCAGTTCTATTGAAATTCTAATAATTGCCACCAGATTTTTATATCACTTAAAATTTTAGGGCGCGGTGGCTCAAGCCTGTAATCCCAGCACTTTGGGAGGCCGAGAGGGGCGGATCACGAGGTCAGGAGATCGAGACCATCCTGGCTAACAAGGTGAAACCCCATCTCTACTAAAAAAATACAAAAAACTAGCTGGGGGAGGTGGCAGGCGTCTGTAGTCCCAGCTACTCGGGAGGCTGAGGCAGGAGAATGGCGTAAACCTGGGAGGCGGAGCTTGCAGTGAGCTGAGATGTGGCCACTGCACTCTAGCCTGGGTAACAGAGCGAGACTCCGTCTCAAAAGCACATAATAGAAAGAAAAAGTAGAAAAAGAAAGAAAAAGTAGCAAATGTTCAAGGAGAAGAGAGGCTACGAGACCACAAGAATTCTGAAACACCGATTCTTCATGTCCAGTGAATACCGTATTTTCAGTAACAATTGGTTAAAAAAAAAAAAAATCCATGTGTAAGTAGACCAGTGCAGTTCAAACCCGTGTTGTTATAGTTCTGGCAAAGTCTTATATTCAGTAAACTCACATTTGTCCAATTTAAAATCAGATGTTTTCTTAGGTGTAAAATAATTCTTAGAGTAAGTCCCCTGTTTAGGTAGAATTGATTTCTTTATCTAATCATTACGTATCAAGATTCTCCAAATCAATAATTTGAAAACTTTAAATATTCTTAGATTTATTTTTACATTAAAAGTGCAGAAATTAACTTTAATTTGCTTTATCCTAAACGTGTCCTGATGTTTAATTGTATCTGTATTATATACCTTGTCTTTTTCTACAACACACTTGAGATGACATAAGAATACAAGTCACTTTTATGTGGCTTATGCATGTTCATAAGGAGCATCAGTATGTAGAATCTCAACATCAGAATCATTTTTACTTTGAGATTTACTTTTAGGGGAAACTACCCTTCACGTAAGTGATACAATATCTGTATTCAAGGCAGATGTTGGTAGTCAAGTTACATCTTTCCTCCCTGCCGCCGTACTTACTGAGTCAATCTAAAAGTAGGGCCGATGTCCTATTGATGAGGCAAAGCCTTTTATTTAGCAATTTAGGTAGGATGTTGGTGGCAGCCTCGCTTTTGCTGTATAACTTGTTTTGTGCAGTATGGGGTACCTTTAAAAAACTGAGATAAGTTCCTAACTTGTAATTTATTTCACTACTTTATTTTTTTGGGACAGGGCCTTGCTTTGTTGCCCAGGCGGGAGTGCAGTGGCAGAGTCACAGCTCACTGAAACCTTGACTTCCAAGGCTCAAGTGATCCTCCCACCTCAGCCTCCAAGTAGCTGGGACTACAGGCTCGTTTTAACTATGCCCAGCTAATTTTCTTGGTGTTTTTTTTTTTGTAGAGACAGGGTTTCACCATGTTGCCCAGGGTGGACTGGAACTCCTTAGGCTCAAGTGATCCATCTGCCTCAGCCTCCCAAAGTGGTGGGATTCAGGCGTGAGCCACTGCGCCTGGTCTGTAATTTATTATAATGCCAAATGCCACATCCTAACATTTGGATTTTGATTATATTAGATTTTTATATCCTTGATAGATCCCACCGCATCATGAGGCTGATAGTCACTGGTGTAAAGATGCAAGCAGTTTGTGACTGGTCTTAATCTGTAAATAAACCACCTCTTTTTGTGTGTGTGTGCATTTCAGAATATGACACTTTTAATGAATGTCCATTGAGTTGGTAATAGTGCCTCTTTATTTTCACATGTAGTTATCAACACTGTACAATAAACAAAAAAAATTAACTACTAATAAAATACCAAAAGTGGATATTTGGGGAAAAGAAAGTAATGAATATTTAAAATTTTTCTCCTCAATTAGGATATTTTCACATGATTTAGAAATGGAAGGATGTGTTCTACTCTTTCTAGTTACCACTAGTCTTATTTTTCATAGTATGTATGAATTGTTGGCAAATAAGAATGTGATTTAAAGAACTAACCGGTTTAGATTTGTAGGTTAGGTTAGATTTGAAATGCCATTTGAAAGAGCAGCAGTTTTGACTTTAATTTTTATGAGACTGACAGGTTCTTTTTTTTGTCCCCACCTTCTTCCCTATTTAGGTTTTATAGGATCACATTGACAAAAGTACCATGGAGTTTTATGAGTCAGCATATTTTATTGTTCTTATTCCTTCAATAGTTATTACAGTAATTTTCCTCTTCTTCTGGCTTTTCATGAAAGAAACATTATATGATGAAGTTCTTGCAAAACAGAAAAGAGAACAAAAGCTTATTCCTACCAAAACAGATAAAAAGAAAGCAGAAAAGAAAAAGAATAAAAAGAAAGAAATCCAGAATGGAAACCTCCATGAATCTGATTCTGAGAGTGTACCTCGAGACTTTAAATTATCAGATGCTTTGGCAGTAGAAGATGATCAAGTTGTACCTGTTCCATTGAATGTGGTTGAAACTTCAAGTAGTGTTAGGGAAAGAAAAAAGAAGGAAAAGAAACAAAAGCCTGTACTTGAAGAGCAGGTCATCAAAGAAAGTGATGCATCAAAGATTCCTGGCAAAAAAGTAGAACCTGTCCCAGTTACTAAACAGCCCACCCCTCCCTCTGAAGCAGCTGCCTCAAAGAAGAAACCAGGGCAGAAGAAGTCTAAAAATGGAAGCGGTATTGTAATCTATTTAATCTATTTAATTTTATTGTATGATTTGGAGCTTGGAATTGAGATATTCTGTTAGGTACATACACAGAAGTTTAATACTGAATTTGAAACCGAGATTATTCTTTTCATTATGTGTTTGCTTCATTAACATTAATTGCTAGTAGAAGTTAGTATTGATCATAAAATAGCACTTTAAACTTCAGAGCCCGATGCAGTGGCTCATGCCTGTAATCCTAGCACATTGGGAGGCTGAAGTGGGAGGACGCCTTGAGGCCAGGTGTTTTAGACCAGCCTGGGCAACAGAGAGAGACCTCATCTCTACAAGAAATTAAAAGAAAAAAAACCAACAAACCCATACATCTTATAAATATCCAACTTTGACTATTTTACTAAAACCATTTAGGACCTGTAAATATCAGCAGTTAAGAACTTCACTTTCTAAATGATGTGGTAAGAATTAAAGGTGGAAAGCTAAAATCAGATATCATTTCTCACCCTTGATTGCTTCATTTTGCTAACATTTATCATATATCTGTTTTATGCTAGGCATTATGCTAGGTAGTAGGGCTACGGAGATGAATAGTGCATTTTCAAGGTAGTCGTGTGTTAGCTGTAGACACAAATAGGTCATTATAAAAGATTTAGTGTAGTGGTCTAGATATGTCTAAACCAGTGTAGGAATTCTAAGGTAGACCACTTAAAGCATGTAATGCCAGAAATTTTTAAAGTTTGGGTAAGTACTAGTTAGGTTTTTTGGGTGGGTGGTGGGGGAGGGAGATTCCAGGGAAAGGGAGCTGATAGGTACAGTGGAAAAGCCTTGAGAAATGGCGTCGTGATGTGTGCAACTGTAAACAGTTTGTTTTATTTGAAAGGACTCGTATGTACCATTAAGTCGTTTGTGTGTCTTAACTTGTAGGAGGTTATATTGGATTTTTTTTTTTTTTTTTTTTTTTTTGAGACGGAGTCTCACGGTCTCGCCCAGGCTGGAGTGCAGTGGTGCGATCTTGGCTCAGTGTGTCCTCTGCTGCCCAAGTTCAAGTGATTCTCCTGCCTCAGCCTCCCTAGTAGCTGGAATTACAGGTGTGTGCTACCACACCCAGCTAATTTTTGCATTTTTAGTAGAGATGGGGTTTCACAAAATTGGCCAGACTGGTCTCGAACTCCTGATCTCAAATGATCCACCCGCCTTGGCCTCACAAAGTGCTGAAATCACAGGCGTGAGCCACCACGCTCGGCCTGGTTATATTGGATTTTAAATATTTGCATGTCAGCTAGGATCAAGACGTAGTAAGGGTAAACACTACATGTTTTAGTTGGGGAAAAGGACATGTAAGCCAGTAAAAATAAAAGTGATTTATGTAGGAGATAGAGAAAGTATAGAGGAAATATAGAAGCTAAAGCAACTACTGCTTATGCTGGAGGAAAGGCTTTACAGAGGAGGCAGTGCCTGAGCATTGAATCGCTTCATCAAGCAGATAGTGGGGTCTCATTCCTCATTGGCAGGATATCATGTAAAGGCACAGAGCTGCAAGAGTACAGTGTATAGTTGAACCATACAATGTGAGATGTAGAGAGTGATAGGGAACAGAGCTGAAAAGATGGCAGTGGCTAGATCATGATGGGTTTTGGATACCGTGCCAGGGAGCTAGGACTTCTTAGGTTAGCCATTGTTGAAGATTTTCAAGCAGTTTAGTTACATGGTCATATTTCTGTTTTAGAAAGATTTTTTGGCAGAGCTAGCAAGAACAGATTTCATGGGGTGGTATTTGATGCCAGCAGACTAGTTAAGAGGTTATTGTAGTTTTCTAAAATGAAGATGTAGGCCTGAACTATGGTAGTGACAGAAGAAACAAAGTTGAGAAGTATGCAAAGTAAGAATGACACGAATAACCTCACTATATAGAAGTGTGGCAGATAAAGGAGGAGACAGGATTAAAGCTGATCTCCCAAGTTCTGAGTTAGGTTGGGGTTGGCAGACTGCAACCTGTGAGCCACATGTAGCTCACTTCCTTTTTTTATGCCCATGAACCAAGAATAGTTTTTACATTTTAAGTGGTTGGGAAATAGAATAATATTTTGAGAAATGTAAAAATGTAAAAAAAAGTCAAGTCTCAGTATTCAAAAGTGTTTTTACATGCAGCTACATTCATTAACTCATTCATAATATGTTTATGACTGGCTTTCATGCTGCAGTAGCAGACTTGAATAGTTGTACCAGAGTCCATATGGCCTATAAGGCCTAAAGTTTTTACGACCTGGCCCTTCGCAGAAAAAGTTTGCCAACTTGTGCTTGGCAGATGGTTGGTAGCACTAAAATGGGTAATACTGGAGAGAGACTAGATGTGAATGGAGAAGAGAACACCCCCAGTTTGTGTTTCCAGTACCTGTGGGGCCATCTACTAGAGCAACTCAGGATGCAGTAGGGTATGTAAGTGTGGAAAAGTAGATTCAGAAGCCTTAAGCATGAAGGTAGTAGAAGGCATGGGGGTAGATAGCTTATCCAAGGAAAGTATCTCAATTGAAGCCCCAACCCTGAGAACTAGCAGCATTCAGTAGAAGCAGTTCCCAAAGGATACTGCAAAGGAATATTTCAAGTGTAAGAAGAGAATTATCATGGGAGCTGATAGGAGATAATTTATTTTATTTTTATTGTGGCAAATTACATATAGCATGAAATTTACCATTTTAACAACTTTTAAGTGTATAGTCGTGTGGTGGTAAGTACATTCACATTCTCATATAATCATCACCACTAGCCAAGTCCAGAACTCTTCATCTTCTCTAAATGAAACTCTGTACGCATTATACACTAATTCCCCGTTCTACCTGCCTCCCCGTTTTCCCCCGTTCCTCCACCTTCCCGCATATCTCGACAATTACCCTTCTGCTTTCTGTCTTTATGAATTTGACTACTCTGGGAATGTCATATAAGTGAAATTCTACAATATTTGTCTTTTTGTCACTGCCATATTTTACTGAACAAAATGGAGAGGAGAGAATTTTAAGAAAGAGATAGTATAAAGGAAGTATAAAATGCCAGAGTAGTCAAATAAGGATTAATGAGTATTTGTAGAATATGGCATTTGGGACACTGGGGGATCTGAGTTAATCCTTTCATAGAATGAAAGAGATAAAAATCAGGTTGCAGTTAGTTGGGGAATGACTGGTAGAAAAGGAACTAAGAATGTTTTGTCAATATGTAAGGAGATATATGTGGGATGCTGGGAATTATGGTGATGGGGAAGGGTTTTCTCCTCCTTCCTTCCCTTCTTTTCCTTCCCTTTTCTTTTTCTTTTTCCTCTTCTTTCTTTCCTTTCTCTTTCTCTCTTTCTTTCTTTCTTTCTCTTTCTTTCTCTTTCTTTCTTTTCTTTTCTTTCTTTCTTTCTTTCTTTCTTTCTTTCTTTCTTTCTTTCTTTCTTTCTTTCTTTCTTTCTTTCTCTTCTTCTTTCTCTCTTTCTCTTCTTTCTCTTCTTTCTTCTCTTTCTTTCTTTTCTTTCTTTTCTTTTGACAGGGTCTTGCTCTGTTGCTTAGGCTTGAGTGAATAGTGCGATCTTGGCTTACTGCAGCTTCAACCTCCGGGGCTTAAGCTGTCCTCCCACCTCAGCCCCAGAGTAGCCAGAACTACAGGTGTGCACCACCACACCTGGCTAATTTTTTTATTTTTTTCGTAGAGATGGGGTTTTATAGAGATTGGGTTTCGCCACGTTGCCTAGGCTCGTCTGGAACTCCTGGGTTCAGATGATCTGCCTGCCTCAGCCTCCCAAAGTGCTGGGATTACAGGTGTGAGCAACTGCACCTTGCTGTTTCTTTTTTATGATGATAGAGACTTGATCATGCCTATTGGCTCAGTAGGGTTGAAAATAGCTGAGGAATGGGAAAGGAGGAGTAAGTACATTGAAGAGCTGGTGTAGTGGAGTAAGAAAGCTAGAATAAGTTATTAGTAAGAGTGTTATATGTCACACTTTAAATTTTTAGTGGTAAAGCATTCTGGGAATTACTCAATGATTGCATCTTTTCTGTTATGTTCATTGTTTGCTGCAATTGTTTTTTTCATTTGTGTTTAATAAAGATGACCAGGATAAAAAGGTGGAAACTCTCATAGTACCATCAAAAAGGCAAGAAGCATTACCCCTCCACCAAGAGACTAAACAAGAAAGTGGATCAGGGAAGAAGAAAGCTTCATCAAAGAAACAAAAGACAGAAAATGGTGAGATGTTTAGATATGTATTTTTATAATGCTAATTCTAGAGAAGTACACCAGCACAAGGACCCTGGAAATCTCACACACTCTTTAGTTCCCAGTTTAATGTGTGCTAATGACAACTGTAATACTAATGCAGGTCTAAAATTATCTTTAGCCTTATGACTTTGTAGTGCTTTGACAGATGGGCAGAGTGTACATTTGAGGTGAAAAAGTTTATATACCATTTACAAAGGGCAAAGCATTTATAAATATTCTTAATTCAGTTTTGAAAAAAATAAATAGCATACAGACCATAAAAGAAAAACATTCTTGAAATATTTGTACTTTTTAATATCATTTAAAGATTATGCTTAAGGACATTAGCTAGATCTGGCATTAGCATACATTTCTAATTAATTCCTAAACAGAACTCGCATGTGTATATAGCAGGCATCAAATGATAAGAGATGGAGCCATCTTATTTGTTCACAGTTTTCCAGGGAAAGCTTGGCTGTGAAATTTGTGAAGACTAAACAACTTAAAATTATTACATATCAATTAGGTAAGAGAGAAATATTACCTGAATATATTTGTTAAAATTAAATGTTAAACAATTTTACTTTTAAATAAAAGAAGAGACATATATAAGTACAAAAGTTCTTTTTAAAAGGTAGGAATGAAAAGAAAAGAGATTTTCATCTAGGTGTGGAAGTTTGTATCTCTAACCAGCAGACATTAGACTTTATGTTCAAACTCTTCAAATTCTTCCCTTTACAATTAGGAACAAAATAAAGAGGCTTCCTTCTTCCACTTTTAATGTTATTTTGGAAGTTTTAGCAAGTGTACATGTACCATAGAAATTAGAGGCATAACTATTGAGAAATGAGAAGCTATCTGCTAGGAACAGTGTGATTTTTGCACTTAGCAAGTATAAAGAACTTGATTAAAAATTATCAACTACAATAAGTTGGTACAGTACCAACATAAATAAAAACTAATAGTTTTCCTTGAGCACTAATTAAGTGGAAATAATTCTTATATTAAAACAAAAATTAAATGAGACCTAAGGATGCGTAAAAAGTTTTTAGATACCATTAGAGGAGATATGCTATACATTTTTAGATAACTTAAATGATTTACTATAAAATAAGGCTATTGAGCTGGTACTGCTTCATCAGAATGAGTGTTTTGACTTGTTAAATGATGAAATAGGAATTTAAAACCAATTTGAACTACTATTAGAGGTTTCAAAATAACTGCATTTATCATTAAAGTATGCTTGCATGTCATTTACTCTGTTTTGTAAATATTCTAATTACGATTTTGTTGAACTTAAATTGCAGTCTTCGTAGACGAACCCCTTATTCATGCAACTGCATATATTCCTTTGATGGATAATGCTGACTCAAGTCCTGTGGTGGATAAGAGAGAGGTTATTGATTTGCTTAAACCTGACCAAGTAGAAGGGATTCAGAAATCTGGGACTAAAAAACTGAAGACTGAAACTGACAAAGGTAATAATGTATGGGATTTATAGTCTTCGTTGTACTATAAAAACACATTTCTGAGTTCTGATGGAGTCATATATTTCATTTTCTCATAGAAACAATGCATTGCAAAAGAATCAAATCCTTGTAGTAGAAGATTTATTGGTAGTCTTTTAGTCCAGCCTCCTCAGTTTTGTAGATCTGGAACTTGAATTTGACTTATTAAAGGTCCTACAGCTATTTTGCTATCTGATGATTATTTTCCAGCTACTACTGTCTCCTGTGAGGTTTCTTGGCTAATTCATAACTGTTTTTTTTTTTTTTTAAATAGACTTTTTTTTTAAAAGTAGTTTTAGGTTCACAGCAAAATTCATTGCAAAGTTCAGAGTTCCCACATATCCCCTGTTTCAACATATGTACACAACTATCTTTTAAAACTTATAATTTAGCTGAAATATTAAAAACCCTAGGCTCCTTTGAGTCTGATGGGTGGCAGTTCTTTTTAAGAAGAGGTTGTTAATGCCTGATACGAGAACCTTGGGAAAATAAGGGTGGATGAGTCAGGAGGTGCTTGATGCATGGATTTTTAAAATGTCAGGATGGTTTGCATATATTTGATCTTCATAGAATCAGATTTCCTTTTTATAATTATCTTAGAACTTATTTTCTCATGTGTGGAATTTGGCTTATATATCTCTCAGGATTATTTTGTTTTTCACAGTTGGTTGTCAGTGTGCAAGGATTATTAAAGTTGATTGAGATTATTGTGAATATAATAGTGCAGATATTAGCACATACTAGACACCTAAATGATTTTTTTTAAAGTGAGGGTATATTGGCATTTTAGTATTTTGCAATTTGAGCAAACTTTTAGCTAATGTAATTATTCCGTATTATAGATGATAAACCCATTTTTTTTTCCTATTGACTGGAGTATTTGTTTTATTTGACCTGAAGTATATATCTGTTTTCTTTTGGTTATTGACTTTCTGGGCTATGAATTCTTCATACTTACCTTTGCTAAAGTTATTACTTTTGTTTTTTTAATGGCAACTCGTTTTTTTTTTTTTTTTTTCAAATTAAGAAAATGCTGAAGTGAAGTTTAAAGATTTTCTTCTGTCCTTGAAGACTATGATGTTTTCTGAAGATGAGGCTCTTTGTGTTGTAGATCTGCTAAAGGAGAAGTCTGGTGTGATACAAGATGCTTTAAAGAAGGTAAGCATGTTTTTTGATTATGGGCATATTCATGACCAGTCATTAGAAGTTCACCAAACAAGACTTTAGCCAGAGCAATTAATATCTACTCCCATCCTTAACATCTCAGAACATATAGTCTGGAATGCCTTCAGAAATTACTTCATATATTGTATTAGTCCATTTTCATGCCGCTGATAAAGAGATACCCGAGACTGGGTAATTTATAAAGAAAAAGTTTAAATGACTCACAGTTCTGCATGGCTGGGGAGGTCTCACAATCATAGTGGAAGGTGAAAGGCACGTCTTCGTGGTGGCAGGGAAGAGAGAATGAGAACTAAGCGAAAGGGGTGTCCTCTTATAAAACCATCAGACCTTGTAAGGCTTATTTACTACCACGAGAACAATATGGGGGAAATTGCCCCCATGATTCAGTTATCTCCCACCAGGTCCCTCCCACAACACATGGGAATTATGGGAGCTACCATTCAGGATGAGATTTGGGTGGGGTCACAGCCAAACCATAACATTCCTCTCTGGACCCTCCCAAATCTCATGTCACATTTCAAAACCAATCATACTCTCCTACTGGTCCCCCAAAGTGTTAATTAATTTCAACATTAATTCAGAAGTCCACAGTCCAAAGTCTTATCCGAGACAAGGCAAGTCCCTTCCGCCTATGAGCCTGTAATATCAGAAGCAACTTAGTTACCTCCTAGATACAATGGGGTACAGGCATTGGGAAAATACAGTCACTCCAAATGGGAGAAATTGGCCAAAATAAAAGGGCAACAGGCCCCATGCGAATCTGAAATCCAGTGGGGTAGTCAAATCTTGAAGCTCGAAAATGATCTCCTTTGACTCCGTGTCTCACATCCAGGTCACACTGATTCAAAAGGTGGGTTCCCATGGTCTTGGGCAACTCCGCCCCTGTTGCTTTGCAGGGTACAGCCTCGCTTCAGGCTGCTTTCACGGGCTGGCATTGAGAGTCTGTGGCTTTTCTAGGCTCACGGTACAAGCTGTCAGTGGATCTACTATTCTATTCTGGGATCTGGAGGATGGTGGCCGTCTTCTCACATCTCCACTAGGCAGTGCTTCAGTGGGGACTTCGTGTGGAGGTTTCAACCTCACATTTCCCTTCCTCACTACCCTAGCAGAGGTTCTCCATGAGGGCCCCACCCCTGTGGCAAACTTCTGCCTGGACATCCAAGTGTTTCCATACATCCTCTGAAGTCTAGGCAGAGATTTCCCAAAACTCAAATCTTGACTTCTGTGCACCCGCAGGCTCAACACTATGTGGAAGCTGCTAAGGCTTGGGGCTTGTACCCTCTGAAGCCACGGCCCATACTGTACTTTGGTCTCTTTTATCCATGCCTAGAGTGGCTAGGATGCAGGACACTAAGTCTCTAGGCTACATACAGCAGGGGGGCCCTGGGCCCTTCCCAGGAAACCATTTTTAATTCCTAGGTCTCCAGCCCATGATAGGAGGGCCCTGCTGCAAAGGTCTTTGACATGCCCTGGAGACATTTTCTCCATTGTTTTGATGATTTACATTTGGTTCCTCATTACTTCTGCCTGCCGCTGGCTTGAATTTCTCCTCAGATGGTGGGTTTTTCTTTTCTATTGCATCATCAGGCTGCAAATTTTCCAAACTTTTATTCTCTGTTTCCCTCTTAAAACTGAATGCTGTTAATAGCACCCAAGTCACCTCTTGAATGCTTTGCTTCTTAGAAACTTCTTCCGCCAGAGACCCGAAATCATCTCCCTCAGGTCTCCCTCAGATCTCTAGGACAGGTGCATAATGCCACCAGTCTTTTTGCTAAAACATATCAAGAGTCACATTTACTCCAGTTCCCAACATGTTCCTCATCTCCATCTGAAATGACCTCATCCTGGATTTCATCGCCTGTGTCATTATCAGCAAAGCTATTCAGCAAGTCTCTAGGAAGTTCAAAACTCCCACATCTTCCTGTCTTCTGAGCCCTCCAAACTGTTCTAACTTCTGCCTGTTACCCAGTTCCAAAGTCACGTCCACGTTTTTGGGTATCTTTACGGCAGTTCCACACTCCTGGTACCAATTTACTGTATTAGTCTATTTTCACGTTGCTGATAAAGACGTACCTGAGACTGGTAATTTATAAAGAAAAAGAGGTTTAATGGACTCACAGTTTCATGTGGCTGGCCTCACAATCATGGCAGAAGGTGAAAGGCATGTCTTACATGGCAACAGGGAAGAGGGAATGAGAACCAAATGAAAGGGATTTCCCCTTTTAAAACCCTCAGATCTTGTGAGACTTATTCACTACCAGGAGAACAGTATAGGGGAAACTGCCCTCATGATTCAATTATCTCCCACCAAGTCTCTTCCATAACATGTGGGAATTATGGGAGTTACAATTCAAGATGAGATTTGGGTGGGTACACAGCCGAACCATATCATATATTCACACTAATCAATTCACTTATTTAAAATGTCATCTGTTGTCATCTGATCTTTTGACAGAGCCAATTGCTTAAAATAAGATGATTTTTATATATATATATATATATATATATATTTTTTTTTTTTTGAGACAGAGTCTTTCTCTGTCTCCCAGGCTGGAGTGTAGTGGTGTGATCTCGGCTCACTGCAGCCTCCGCCTCCTGGGTTCAAGCAATTCTCATGCCTCAGCCTCCAGAGTAGCTGGCATTACAGGCATGCACCACCATGCCTGGCTACTTTTTGTATTTTTAGTAGAGACGGGGTTTCACCGTGTTAGCCAGGATGGTCGTGCTCTCCTAACCTCGTGATCCACCCGCCTCGGCCTCCCAAAGTGCTGGGATTACAAGCGTGAGCCACCGCGCCCGGCCAGATTTATATTACTTTTAAAGTCATTTGGCCCTTGGCTAAACTGGACTGTGCTTTGCTCTGACCAGAAGTGCTAAAGTCAAAGTCAGGTGATTTCTGGATAGCATATATGAACTGTTTTTGTGACTGAAGATCAGACCGTTCAAAGAACCTCAGGGCTGTTGTTGTGGGGGTATGTGTACGTTGTGTTTACTTTTCTAAAAGAAATGATTTGAAAGGCATAGTCACTGCTATGGCTGATTTTAAAAAAAATTGTAAAATAAGAACCCCATGCAGTTAACATCTATATTATGGGTCATATTCACTATAATATTATATGTACTGTGTCGTACTGGGAACGGTGAAGTTTTCAAGGGTTACCTATGTAAAATAAAGTGATATGGTGTCTGCTATTCAATATTAGCATTTAGCTGTCATTTAGATGCTATGGTGCCTTTAACTGTCTTTATTCTAAAAACACACATATGCACACCTCTTTTCCCATAACCTTTCAACTACTTTCAAACCTTCAATGGTTTAATTTTTTCTTAGACTAGTCTAGACCATTGCCTCTCACCTGATTACCTGCAGTAGTCTCCAAATTGATGTTTCTGCTTTTCCTGTTAGTCCTCTAATTTTGTTTTTTTCCCCACTTAACTGTAAAGTGACCTGTAAGAGATAAATTAGGTTATATATTACTGCTTTAAAAACCCTTTGGTGTTTTTCTGTTTTGCAGTTAAAACATAAATCCAGATTCCTTAACAGGTCTATGTCCTGCCTGTCTCTGCAGCCTCATCTAATGACACTTTTTCTTATTTCTTCACTAAATTTCACCCATACGGAGTCTTCTCTGATTCTTCTCTCATATCAGATTTTTTTCTTCTGTCTGTCCTGTCTCCCCTTTCCTCCCAAACCCTCCCCTCCAATTTCTTTCTATGCCCAATTCCTCCTTCAAGTCTCCACTTAAATGTCATTTTCTCATATAAGGCTAACCTGAATTCACAGTCTAAATTGTTTGTCCTTCTATTCTTTCTTACAACCGTCTGGATGTTTTTGCCATAGCATTTATCGTAGCATTATAAGTCTGTCATACTTCTATTGACAGTGCATTTTACAAATCTGTGGCAATTTTATGATGTAGCATGCTTATTAGATAGTCTCCATGTGATGCCAGCAATGGCCCAGAGTAAAAAGGTAATCAGTAAATACGATAAATGTGACTTTAAATACGAAGACAGATATTTTGTTGCAAGGAAATTTCTTGATTATTTTTATTTTTATTTTTTTGAGATGAGGTCTGGCCCTGTCACCCAGGCTGGAGTGCAGTGGTGCGATCTCTGCTCACTGCAACCTTCACCTCTTGGGCTCAAGCGATCCTCCCGTCTCACTCTCCTGAGTAGCTGGGACCACAAGCAATGCCTGGCTAGTTTTTGTATTTTTTGTAGAGATGGAGTTTCACCGTGTTGCCCATGCTGGTTTCAAGCTCCTGAGCTCAATCAGTCCTCCTGCGTTGGCCTCCCAAAGTGCTAGGATTACAGGTGTGAGCCATGGTGCTTAGCCTTGATATTGATTAAAGAATTTGTCCTTTGGTTTATTTTATTGTAATTGGGTGACTACTACATATCTTTAAAAAGTTGTTAGTTATATGTGGGGATTGAGAACAGCTCCTAACAGGGAAGAACCTTGCTGAAGTTACTGTGTTACTATATTGCTGTTTAGAGTTAATGCTTTTTAAGATTAAAAGTAATTGCTTTAAGTGTCTGTCTTCTAATTAAAGATGTTCCTGGTAGCTTATGGGGGCAAGAGTAATCATTTTATTGTCTGAGACAGCTTTGAACTCTAGAGTCTGGGTGGTAAATCAGACTACCCTTTATCTATTTTAGGCAGGCCTTGGAAGAAGTTGGAAACTGTTAAAGATAGCATGGAGCAAGTGTTTTGAAACTGTTGATGTTTTTCCCCTTTTCCTTGGAGCCATTTGGTTTTAAATTAAAATCTTTTTGTTTTTGGTTTCTCATGGGGCGGTTCTGTTCTCTACTGAAGGAACTCTGCCTTTGTAGGTCTCCTGTATCTGAGTAAGACTAGGTAAGTTTAATTTCTCCCTTTTCCTGCCTTAGAACTGAGTTGGTCAGACCTTTTCACAAATTGTTCAAAGTCCCAGAGGTAACTGAATCCTTGTGCCGAATAAAGACCACTTTAGAGCAAGGGGAAGATAAATACAGGGCACTGGCATAGGATAGAAGAGTTAAGGGATTTGCTTATGTAGTGGCTAAAGAAGAGTCCATGGTGACTGCTTGTTTTCTCTCTTGAGTAACTGGATAGATTGTGGTGAGTGTGGTTTTTGTGAACACTTTGTAGAGAGTAGAGGATTGAGAAATTTCAGAAAGCTGTTTTAGGTGTCCCTTGTGCCATTTAAGTGGATATAGTCATTTTACAATTAAAAATATATTTCTCTGGAGTAGAAGAAAGGCTACAATGGGAGTGATAGAGGAAGATAATCCACTATCATCAGTACATATGGTAGATGTATATTAGATCAGGGAGGATGTGAGAGGTGATAGAAGGCTCAAGAATGAACCCCAGGAAACACCAACATTTAAAGGGCAAGGAAAATCACCACAAAAGATACTGAAGAGGCGCGAAGTGGGAGGAACACCAGGAGATAGTGGAATCACAGAAACTTTGAGTTTGAATGATCAACAGTAACATGCTTTAGAGATGAGTTTGATATCCTTAGTAAAAGCAGTTTCATTGCAGTACAAGATTATAAATAAGTACCAAATGAATGGGAAAAGTGACAGCGAGTGTCCGCTATGAATAAGCTTAGGTGGGAAGGGGAAAACAGAGCAAAAGCTAGAAGGGTTGGAGCAGAGATGTTATGTTGTGTGAGTGCACACGTGCCCTTGTATTCGAGTTATGAGGCACTTGAGAGTGTACTTAAGATCCTGAGCTCTGGAGTCAGACTTCCTGAATTCAAATCTGGACTCTGCTGATTGCAGCTTTGTGGCCTTAGGTAAGTTTCTTAGCTTTAGTGCCTCAGTTTTCCTGTGTCTAAAATGGGAGTGATCAAGTTTTGAGAATTAAATGATAGTGCATGTTAGGTGCTTAGAGTCCCTAGCATATAATAAATGCTGAAAAATATAAACTATTAATGTAATTATTAGTAAAATGTTTAATTATTTTTTATTATTGACATTTAAATATACTTGCTTCAGTTATATTTTAAACTTTAAATTATTAACAATTTGGGCCCCATGCTGCGTAGCAGGAGGAACTACTGTTATACCACTTAAATTTTTTTCCCCTAGCTTCTTTCTTCCACCCCTCTCAACTTTTGTTAATAATAGTTTTTCTGTTTGTCAGATACTTGTAATATTTAACATCTCTTCTGTGATTATAATTTTCATGTTTTAGTTTTAATTTTATAGTTTAATGGTAGGTCCAGATCTCAATATTAGTATTTTTGTCATAGCTTCTTTATTCATCTCTTGGTTAGCTGAAGTTGCTTTTGCTGGGATTTCTTCAAGAAATTTTCCAAATTTTGGCAAGTTAACATGCTTTTGTTGTATTTATACTTAAATAATAGTTTGGTAGGGTATAACATTCCAGAGTTTCATTTTCTTTTCTTGAAACATTTTATGCATTTGTTGTTTCACTGTTCTCTTTATTCATATTGCTGGATAGAGGTCTGAAGCCAGCCTGCATTTTGCACCCTTTTCATATATTTTTGTTAAACTGCACTCTCACGATAAAACATTCTTTGATCAATCACATTTTTATTATTTACTGGATTTTTTTCAGTGTCTGACCTACTCTACACACATCAAGAGATTCAGTTTCTTTGGCATTCAGTAATTGTACTATAATATGGCTTGACGTTGACTGCTCTGTTATACCTTGGATACAGTATGTCTTTTCAGTCATTAGATTCAAGTCAGCTTTTATTACTGGGAAGTTATATATAATGTTCTTGAAATAAGTAAAATAATGGAGATCAGTTAAATACATGTGGGCTCTCCTCTGGCTACCTTCATTATCTTTCATATCTTTAACAACAAAAAAACCCTAACACATTACCAAAGAAAACTTTATTTCTCCTTTTTATTTACTTCTCTCTACCATGTACTCTATGGCCCTTACTGTGTTTACAGCGGCATGTGCTTTTCTGTTTGCTGCTTTTAACTATAGTATATTTCTGGGATGGTGTTGCTTTTGCTTCCACTTTAGTTTTGCCAGCTCACGTTTCATCTCATTTTGTGTTATCTTTTCTCTGAGCTCTTTTATTTTCCAGAGATGATTCCTATATTAGATTTTTAATCACAATTTTAATCTGCTGTTTGATAACCTTTTTCTGGTGATTTTTCTTCACTTGTTGTTTGTGTTTTTCTTATTTTCATTTTTTTGATATCTAGTATAGATCCTGTTTTATTTTATTCTATTTTATTTTATTTACTACTGTTCTTCCAATGAGGGGTGTTTTTCTTGGATCATCTTTGTGCTAAGGCTTGGTATTACTAAAGGGTCAAGGCTGACTGGTGTTCTCCTTGGGGACTGTGTATGTAAAATGAGTTTTTTTAGCCTTCGCTGCTTTTCAGATAAGAGACTTAGGGCCTCCTTATAGAGAATCTTTTGACTGCCTTACTGGCTAGTTACTCCCTTTGAGTGGTTTTTTTTCCTGCTTGAGATGTGTGATTTTATCTGTGACTTTTTTTTTTTCCTTCTTGAGACCGTCTTCTGAGAAAGTTTCAATCTTTGCACTTGTTTGTTGTTTCCCATGTCAAATTGGGGATTGCTGGTTTTACCTTTCAGGATGTGCCTGTTAATTTCAGAGAACTATACATTTATGGCACCTCTATAGCCATGGGTGTATTCTGACGGGGTCGTGGAGCATCTGATTTTGATTTTTACTGTATTTGGTGATCTTTCCTCAGATGCTTTGAGATTATAGGTTACTGTTTCATTCATAGCAGCTTACATTTTGGTTTCACATTCTCTCTTTCGATCTAGTAGGAGAAGGAGGAAATTACTGTCTTGACTCTGAGTTTAAAACTAGAATTCCCATAATTCTTTGTAAAAATCTGTTTTTTGATTGATATGTATCTAGTTGGAAATTTCAGAATATACAACTTTAAAGAGATTTTTCTGAATATTTCACTGATCAGTATTTGGCAGTTATTTTACTTTTTATGTAATACAGAACTCTGCATTGACCCAGGAGCACTTAATGTTAGATACTTTATTTTCATAATTTTTTAAATCTTAGCACCTTTTATTTTTTATTTTATTTTTCTTATACTTTAAGTTCTGGGGTACATGTGCAGAACGTGCAGGTTTGTTACATAGGTATACACATGCCATGGTGGTTTGCTGCACCCCTCAGCCTGTCATCTACATTAGGTGTTTCTCCTAATGCTATCCCTCCCCTATCCTCCCACCCCCCGACGGCAGGTTCCCCTTCCTGTGTCCATGTTCCCCTTTCTGTGTCCATGTGTTCCCATTGTTCAACTCCCACTTATGAGTGAGAACATGCAGTGTTTGGTTTTCTGTTGTGGTGTTCGTTTGCTGAGAATGATGGTTTCGAGCTTCATCCATGTCCCTGCAAAGGACATGAACTTACCCTTTTATATGGCTGCATAGTATTCCATGGTGTATAGGTGCCACATTTCATTTTCATACTTTTTTTTTTCTTTTTGAGACGGAGTCTCGCTCCGTTGCCCAGGCTGGAGTGCAGTGGCGCGATCTCGGCTAACTGCAAGCTCCGCCTCCCGGGTTCACACCATTCTCCTGCCTCAGCTTCCTGAGTAGTTGGGACTACAGGCGCCCGCCACCATGCCCGGCTCATTTTTTTTTTTTTTTTTTTTTTAGTAGAGACGAGGTTTCACTGTGTTAGCCAGGATGGTCTCGATCTCCTGACCTTGTGATCCGCACGCCTCGGCCTCCCAAGGTGCTGGGATTATAGGCGTGAGCCACGGCGCCCAGCCCCATTTTCATACTTTTTATTAGCCCATGGTAACTATTACTAATTCTGCGTTGCTTTCTTGATTGCAGTCAAGTAAGGGAGAATTGACTACACTCGTACATCAGCTTCAAGAAAAGGACAAGTTACTTGCTGCTGTGAAGGAAGATGCTGCTGCTACAAAGGATCGGTGTAAGCAGTTAACCCAGGTGAAGACATTCTTATGTACGAGGGATATACTTCCCAAATCAGAAGCAACGAAAGATTTTAGAAATTATCTATTGTCAGTAGTTTAATTATTTATAATTTATATCCAACAAAAGTAACTTTCTTTTAGAGTTTTGGGAGAGTAGATAGAGCCGTCTCTCTCTTTCGTGATATTATAACCTATAGTTGAATTATTTAAAATAAGAGTACTTACAGATACCCTAACTTCAGAATAACAAAAGCATTCTGTACAGAAGCATGGGAATTTGTTTTAATTGGATCTGACCTAGATCTGTTCTTTATAGAAACACAAAATTTGGTGTGATCTTGTTTAAGTCTTATTAATGGAATAAATGTGAAACTCTTAAGTAATTTATTTATGGAGCTTCTTGTGATAAGTATAATTTTTTGTCTAGTTCTTCAAATCTCAGAAATATTACTTTCAGAGGTTAATAGTAAAAAATACTGGAAAAGCCAATCTTTAAAACATCATGAAACTGAGAGAAGAGAATTGAAACTATAGAAAATATGTTTTCATTATTCCTGAAGTGCTTGTTTCTCTTTCTAGGGATTAAATGCAGTAGAGTACATGATGTTTATTTAATAGTCGTTCACCTAGCCACTTGATGACATTGTAAGAATGAATGACCTTGTTTGAATATAAATCCTTTATGTGAATTTGAAGTAAATAAAAAAAGTCAATGGAAAAAGTTGGCAAGATTAAAGTTGTTAATAAAATTAGAAACTTACAGTTTTATGTGACTATATGACTGTATTTAAAAAAATTAGGATAACTAATTTGATAATTCATTGAGCTATGTACTTACGATGTATATACTTCTAAGTATGTCATACAGGAGTATAACAATTTGTAAAGATGAATGAACAAACTCAGGCAAACATAAATTATGTAATATCTCAAATTTTGTCGAAAAGTTGCTTTAGAGCAGGGACATGATTAGTCCTAATCATACCTACAGCTGATTTTAAAATTGCTTGGCTTTCATGTACTTCGATAATTAATATTTTTTCTAGGAGTTCATAGTACCAGCAAAACAAAATGAAATCCCTCATTTAAGATTTGACTTAGGGGCCAGTTGCGGTGGCTCACGCCTGTAATCCCTACACTTTAGGAGGCTGAGGCGGGCAGATCGCGAGGTCAGGAGATCAAGACCTTCCTGGCTAACACGGTGAAACCCCGTCTCTACTAAAAATACAAAAAAAATTAGCCGGGCATGGCGGCGGGCGCCTGTAGTCTCAGCTACTCGGGAGGCTGAGGCAGGAGAATGGCGTGAACCCGGGAGGGGGAGCTTGTAGTGAGCTGAGATTGCGCCACTGCACTCCAGCCTGGGCGATGAAGCGGGACTCCGTCTCAGGAAAAAAAAAAAAAAAAAAAAAAAGATTTGACTTAGGAAGATGATAAAACTGCTTTCTGATTTTTACTTTCCCTTGTTTGAAACTTTGACTCTACTGTAGACATCTTATCCCTATTTCTTCCCTTAGGAAAGAGACTTTTATTTCCTTCTAGGCCTTTTTTCCCTGAAAGAGAATGTACCTGGGAATGATAGAGAAGGAACTATTGTGCTTTAAAATGTTCTTTCGTGTAATCAAGTTAGAATGTAGGATTTATTCTAGGTTCATAGTCTTTAACTTATAGTAAACTAGAAAATGCATTTGAATTAGTAGTAAAACAGTGGCAAAGTGATTATGAAGGGAATAGGTGTGAAGAGCAGATGAGATGCAGAAGACTCTTTTTGAAATCTTTTGACCTAGCTTTTTTAAAGCAAGTACTTAATGTTTTATCATTCGTGATTATTTTACTGATGTTATATAACATCATTGTTTATCATTGTTGCAGGCTTATGATACTTATTAAATAACAAGTTTTTAAATTTCTGGGATATTCTTTTAGGAAATGATGTCAGAGAAAGAAAGAAGCAATGTGGTTATAGCAAGGATGAAAGATCGGATTGGAACATTAGAAAAGGAACATAATGTATTTCAAAACAAAATACATGTCAGTTATCAAGAGACTCAACAGATGCAGATGAAGGTATATTTTCATTCTTTGAAAACAAGATGAAATGTTTGCATTCATTTAATTAGCAAACTTTTAAGTGACTAGTATGTGCAAGGCCCTTTGCTGGGCCATCAACATACAGTGGCTAGTGAAATTCACTCTCTGTCCTAAGTAAAACAACTTTTCTAGGTGGGGATGAGGTAGAGAGGCTGGATGCAGATCAATATGATGATAAAGATAAGTATTGGCTACTTTAGAGCAATGGTGATGGGAGGTAGGGAAGAGAAGGATTTGATAGGGAAGACTTTTTAGAAGTGATAAGACTGTGTTCAATCTTTTAAAACAATTAGGCATTATCAAGTAAGAGAGTAAAGAAATGGGCACTGAGGATAAGAGTTACTTGGTGTGATTTCTTAGTCCATCTCTGGAGATGATAGTTCAGTGGGTATATTCTGGGACCCAGGATTGAGCTTTTTAATGAGTGCAATCCAGGTGCTACCAGTACAGATTGTCTGGAGTAACTGCTCTGTGAGAAATACAGTAAGAGTTGTGGTATTTGGGAATCAGAGCTGGAATGAAGAAGGGATATTGAGAAGTAGTTAGAGGCCCCATCTTAAAAGGGCCTTGTATACCTGAAGACTGGGGAGCCAGAGAAGGAGTTTAAGCAACGCAGCAGTCGCTGGAATTACACTGCTATTTTAAATTTTTACCTTGGTAGCAGTGGGGAGAGTGGAGCAAAGGATGGTTGGAAGACTTTGCTAGAATTCAAGTCAAAGAACAAGGGCCTGAAATTAGATGTTGACAATGAGAGAATGAGTTTGAGTATACAAAGAGTTAGTTAGATAGGGCTTGGTGTTAGTGTGGAGGGGAGAGGTGATAGTGAAGAATGACTTCTAAGGTTTTGGCCTGAGTGATTTTGTTACTTCCTACCGTTTCACTTGTCTTCTGTCAGAAGGCTCAGTTTTTACAGTCCGTCTCTTGTATATATTTTCCATTTTCATGATCCTAGTTAGGACTAGACCGGTGAATTTTTTTTCTTACTTTTAAAAAGATTGAAATATCTTTATTACTGCTAAAGAGGCTATTGAAGAATATGGCTTGGGTCTGCTTGCTTAGTGGTCATGTAATACTTTCCTTAATTTAACTTTCTTGACCAGTGACTTTTTGAAATTGTTACTTGCATCTGCTGGCTGATCCTTCAATTTGGAAGGTCTGTCATTACCTCAGATTTAATATGTGTCTAAAACTCTCACCTATTGATCAGATTGATTTTTTTTTTTTTTCCCCCAAGCCGATCATGGTTTTTATATTTTGAGGCATTGTTATCTTTCTGCTTGAATCCTGTGACTTCTCTCTGCCTCGCTTAGTCTACAATTTGCTCTGAAATCTTAAAGACATTTTATTTCTATGGCCAGGTGCTGTGGCTCATGTCTGTAATCCCAGCTGAGGTAGAGGATCACTTGAACCCAGGAATTTGAGAACAGCCTGGGCAAAATAGTGGGACCCCATTCTACAAAAACATTAAAAAGTTAGCCAGGCATGGTGGCATGCCCATGGTCCCAATTACTCAGGAGGCTGAGGTGGGAGGCTTGAGCCTGGGAGGTTGAGGTTGCAGTGAGCCGTGATCACGCATTTGCACTCCAGCCTGGGTGACAGGGTGAGACCCTGTCTCAAAAAACAAAAAACTCCAAACCACTTTATTTCTAGTTATTCTTGCATTCAATTCTTAGACGTGTCTTTAGTTTATTATTACATACTAGAATAATTATAGCTCATATTAATAGGTTTGTCATTTTCATTCTGTCTTGCATTTGGTACCAAATTTTTTTTTTGTAAAATATTGCTCTGATAATATCGCTAGTCTGCTAAAAATTTAAAAATATTCTTCGCTGCTTTCAGAGTCCCACTATTTTCCTCTGAAATGCCACTGATAGCAAAAAAGAAGTGAATGATGCTGTTTCTGTGTTTTTACCTTATCCACTGCTTTTAGCATTTGTTTAACCCATTCCTTCATCTTCTCATCCCCCAGCAATTTGAGTTATTGAAGAACTAATTTTCCTAGCCTCAAGTGATCTTTTCTTCTTAGTTCCTAATTCCTGTTAATTTGAAAATTAGTCAAATACTTGTAGCAGCATCTTTTGTTGAAGGTGAAAGGTATTTAATTGATTCATCCTGTTTTACTTGATTACTTACAGAGGTCAGGATACAGATTCCATATGATAACTTCTGTGAAAAATAGAAATGTATACCCTAATTTCTCTTAATAAGCAACAATTTCTTTTGAAAGAATTATTAATAAGATTATTTCATATAAAAACATGTTCTTATGAGAATGTAAGAGTCAGTGTGCTTTGTCTTTAGATTCTTTAATCCAAAATTTTAAAATTAGAAGAAGAAAGTTAAGAGTGGTGGTCGCCAGGGGTTTCAGGGAAAGAAATGGGAGTTATTCATTAAAAGGTGCAGAGTTTTGTTTTACACAATGAAGAGAGTTATGGAGATGAATGGTGGTCATGATTACACAGCATTGTGGATATATTTAATACCAGTGAACTGTATACTTGAAAATGGTTAGAATGGTATGTTTTATGTTATATGTATTTTATAATGTAAAAGCTTGGAAAAACAATTAGAGGTCAGAATATTTTAGCAAGCAGGTTTTTGTGTTATCTATATGATTATGGCTCAATTTGTAACTTAATATGAAGTATACCAAACATATTTTCAGTTTTTAAACTTTGGCTTACTAAAGACTTTAAGAATATTGCTAACATACAATTGACATAGGATCAGGACAAGCTTAATTCTGTATGAATCTATTTGGTAGGAAAGAAGTCCTGAATCATACTCAGTTCTGAAACATCATCTCTAAGCATGTTTATCTTGTATGTCAAATATGATAGCAGCTAGCATCTACTTGTATTCTTGAATGTGGTGAGAGTTTGTATTTAATTTGCAGTCATCACTAACAGTATATTTCTTTTAAATTTGTTCATGTTTATTTGAGAAGAATGATTCAAACTTCATTCTATTGATGCTTTTTACGTTCTCATTTTAATAAAGTTTATTTTGAAAGTTAGCTTTGACAGTCTTTGTTTTCTAAGTTTTATGTATGTAAAATTTTAGTTTCAGCAAGTTCGTGAGCAGATGGAGGCAGAGATAGCTCACTTGAAGCAGGAAAATGGCATACTGAGAGATGCTGTCAGCAACACTACAAATCAACTGGAAAGCAAGTATGCTTCCAAATACCTTATTTTTAATTGAATGGCAGAGTATTTTCTTGAATCATCAAAATATTAATAGTGTTTGATAGTAATTGGTTAGACTTTTTTTTTTACATTTGTTTCTAAAATGAGGTTTTTTTTTTTTTTTTTTTGAGACGGAGTTTCATTCTTGATGCCCAGGCTGGAGTACAATGGCGTGATCTCTGGCTCACCGTAACCTCCGCCTCCTGGGTTCAAGCAATTCTCCTGCCTCAGCCTCCCGAGCAGCTGGGATTACAGGCATGTGCCACCACACCCGGCTGATTTTTTTGTATTTTTAGTAGAGACGGGGTTTCTCCGTGCTGGTCAGGGTGGTCTTGAACTCTCAACCTCAGGTGATCTGCCCGTCTTCAGCCTCCCAAAGTGCTGGGATTACAGGCGTGAACCACCACACCTGGCTTAAAATGAGTTACTTTTAAAAACAATTCTCTTTTGCTTTGTGAAGAACTTCTTCAGTTACATATATGTAAACTATATATGTTATATTAATGTCATACTATTATGTACTTATACAAACACATTAATATATATCATATATTACATATTTATATAAACATGTATGTGTATATTATATATAAACTATGTAATAAATACTAGTACCACCAATGGAATGGTCTATGAAATTTATAAGTTTTAATCCATCTGTCCCCTTTCACAGTAGCTCCTAAACTTCAGTATTCTGAAGAGCACCTGGCATTCTAGTTAAAAAGTGTATTCTTGAGTCCTACCCTTAAAAGATTATGATTCACTGACTCTGAGGTAGAGCCTAGCAATCTACATATTAAGACACTTTCGGGCCGAATGTGATGGCTCACGCCTTTAATCCTAGCACTTTGGGAGGCCGAGGTGGGCAGATCACCTGAAGTCAGGAGTTCAAGACCAGCCTGGCCAACATGGCGAAACCCTGTCTCTACTAAAAATACAAAAATTAGCTGGGCGTGGTGGCGCATACTTGTAATCTCAGCTACTCGGGACACTTAGGAGAATTGCTTGAGCCTGGGAGGCGGAGGTTGCAGTGAGCCCAGATTGCGCCACTGCACTCCAGCCTGGGCAACAGAACCACATTCTGTCTCAAAAAAAAAAGACACTTTCCTTGTGATAGTGATTGACTCTGAGGCCATACTTTGAGAAATAGTACCTTAGAGAGATTAGTAATATGAGTACACAGTACCCTGACTGGTTGATTTTTAATACATTTTCAGAAGACCAGTTTGAAGGTGACACTGTCTATTTATGGTCATCTATTTTTCTTGATGTTTTACAGTGTTTTAGAATTTGTATAACTCGTTAGAATTATATAGGAATTACCCACCTAAACTTTATTGTTAGTAATCGCTTGTGTTCTGTTTCAGTTGGGCTGTAAATAGAACTACTAGCTCAGCTCAGCGAAACTACCAAAGTATGTTTTGTTTATTTCTTATATCTATTTGTAATAATGGAAGGCTCCTAATCCAGTTACTGTTTTCAGGCAGTCTGCAGAACTAAATAAACTACGCCAGGATTATGCTAGGTTGGTGAATGAGCTGACTGAGAAAACAGGAAAGCTACAGCAAGAGGAAGTCCAAAAGAAGAATGCTGAGCAAGCAGTTACTCAGTTGAAGGTGATATATTCCCACCTTTGTCATTTCATGAATAATATAGGTGTATTAGTTCGTTTTCATAGTGGTATGAAGAACTGCCTGAGACTGGGTAAATTTTTAAGGAAAGAGGTTTAATTGACTCACAGTTCAACATGGCTGGGGAAGCCTCAGGAAACTTACAATCATGGCAGAAGGTGAAGAGGAAGCAAAGCATCTTCTTCACGAAGCAGCAGGAAGGAGAAATGCCGAGCGATGGGGAAGAGCCCCTTATAAAACCATCAGATCTTGTGAGAACTCACTCATTATCACAAGAACAGCATGGGGGTAACCATGCCTATGATTCAATTACCTCCACGTGGTCTCTCCCTTGACACATAGAGATTATGGGGATTACAATTCAAGATGAGATTTGGGTGGGGACACAAAGCCTAACCATATCAGTAGGTATTTAATTTGATGACTTAAATGTGTATATAGATTTGAAAAATATAGTTTGATGCTTAGTGGGACCTGTAGTCTAAATGCTATGCCCTGATGAAAGAAAAAGAATCATGTGCCCTGTTGAAATAATTGAATATAGCCTTGAATTTGAAGTTAAAGACTGTTTGAAGATATGGTAAATGATGTTAGCTGATTGACAGGTATAAACTGTAGAAGTTTGTCTTATATATGGGGATTAGGGTCTACATATATGGGGCAGAAATCATGTAGTTAAAAATTACCCTTAATACCACTTTATCACCCATAGCTTGGATTTTTCAGTAGGTCCAGTAGAACCTAGTTTTCTTTCAGCACTGGAATAGGTAGTTTTTCCTTTGTTTAAGCACAAGACTAAGTGGTGTTCCAATGGCTTGCACTCGACCCATGATGTACAAAAAAATCACATATTATGTTCTTAGACACCAGAGTGTCACTGCTCAGGCTGACTGAGGGAGGAACAGATTCATTTATCTCATTTTATATGCATTCTGGAGCATATGTACATTGAATAGAATGATGAGTGTAATTTTCTGTTTCTCCTTTTATTGAAGAGGAGATTTGTTGAAAGTATAGTTCAATTTAAGTTAAATGCTACCTCATTATAATAGATTCCTACCTAGGTCATTGATATAGTTGTACTTTGATAACAGTTCCAGAGTAGGAGTTAAAAAGGCTTCAAGGGTAATTGAATATGGAAAATAGTGTGAGTAACCTTTGTTTTTCTTAAGTTTTCTTGGGTCTTGTTGGGAGATTAATATAAGTATCCTTTCTTTTATTTAATACTGATCTTGCTGATGGGTTTACTACTGGCATAGATATGGAAGTCTGTTTTCTGTGGATATGGATAAATAAATGACATTAAAGATTATAGTCATGATTGGAGTGTTGTGTTATAGAAATACCTCAAAATAAGAATTTTTAGCTACTTAGATTTAGCAATAAAGATACTATCCTGTCCTTTGGAAGCTTATAAGCTGAAGGAGGGTTAGTGGGAAACAGGTTATTGCTAAGTGGATCAGATATGTATATAGTAGTTGCTATCTTGATCTAAACTCAGCACAAATATTGAGTCTCTGAAATAATCTCTAAACTATAAACCCTGTAATGTTGGAGGATAGGATGGCTATGACTGATAAATAAATAGCTTTTAGACTGTGTTTATCTGCCTGTCTTATTGAAATGTAGGAGACTAGTTGTAATAAGCAGTTTTATGATACAACAGTAAAGGTAGAGGATACTTTTTTTCCCTCTTTTTCAAAGTAGAAATTCTGTGTTTGTGCTAATTTATCCTTTCTCCCTTTTAAAATACCAAGGTTCAACTACAAGAAGCTGAGAGAAGGTGGGAAGAAGTTCAGAGCTACATCAGGAAGAGAACAGCGGAACATGAGGCAGCACAGCAAGGTAAGGGGAAGAGGTATTCATGTAAACTTTGTATATAATTTTGGGTAAAATTTCCTTTCTCTTCCATCTGTGAAGAAAGTATAATTTGGTATTTTGGTTATAGCTCAGTAAAAATAGCTTTTATACTTTCAGAATATCTTTCTTTCTTTGACATTTGTTAGGGTTTTAAAATAAGTTACCTACTAGTTTTGCCTGAAGCATTAAAGTTGGAGGCAAAATTGTAGTACATGATAGGGTAATGGGGTCCTGGCTGTGTGTGTTTCTTTTCTGTAGTTATTCTCTTTGGTTCTTTGGTTAATTCTTCATTTTATTTTTTGTTCCCAAGAAAATAGTTCTTATTTTGAAGAGAAAAACAGAGCATTACCATCCCAAGTAATTTACTTAAAACTGCCCATTTAATACATGCTAACTTTTACTCATTTACTCTTAATTTGATGAATCCATCTGGGAGATAATGGAGTACGTGTTATGTGTGTTGTTTATTTCTCTACTACTGCCTTTCTGCCATGAAAAACAAGTATAGGCTGCTACAGGAGCATGCAGGAGTGGAAGCAGGAGAGATTCAAAGGAGGTTTTCTAGAGAATAGAATGCCTACACTAAAGATGAGTATGAGAAACTAGGCAAAGAAAGAGACCTCTGTAAAATGTAATGTTTTATTACAGATTTACAGAGTAAATTTGTGGCCAAAGAAAATGAAGTACAGAGTCTGCATAGTAAGCTTACAGATACCTTGGTATCAAAACAACAGTTGGAGCAAAGACTAATGCAGTTAATGGAATCAGAGCAGAAAAGGGTGAACAAAGAAGAGTCTCTGCAAATGCAGGTTCAGGTATTTTTTTCTTCTTTTTTATTAAAAAAAATACAGGTGGTCAGTTATTAGATCTGTGTGTCTAGAGGAGAGAGTAAGGTCTACGTTATCCTAATTCTGAAATGATGATGAATAATTATAACTTTGTCTTTGAGCACTTGTCACAATATGGTATGTTTGAAGATGTGCTCATCCACAGTCTTAGGTTCTTTGTATTAGATTAGGAATAGCACAGACATATCTTTAACTTCTGTCTTATAAGCTAACTCAGAATGTCTAATCATTGTTTAAAATAATGCCTTTTGGAATCTAAGAATGCCTTAAAAAAGAAAAAAGATAAAGATAAACAGATGTACCTATAATACATTGTGTTCATATACATGGGGTTATTTATTAGCATGCTTTTTTTCTTTTTGATTGCTATTTATGAAAGGATATTTTGGAGCAGAATGAGGCTTTGAAAGCTCAAATTCAGCAGTTCCATTCCCAGATAGCAGCCCAGGTAATGACGCTTTCTTATTGCTTATGATTCAGCCATTTAAACACTCATCTGAATGCCCGTTGAGTGCCAATTACTGGATTAATAGCTGGGAGACTAGTCATTGAACCAACAAATGATGATCCTGAGTGCTAAACACTTGCTAATTATGTACGGTGCTGAGCGAAAACACTTAGAAAGAAATCCATACCAACTAATCGGATGAGGGGAAGGTTAGAGAGCTTTTATTATACAAAAATATCCCCAATCCTGTCACAAAACAAGGAGAGAGAATTGGCCGAATGCTGTCTAGAATAGTGGCTTATGTATTACAGATGTTCATTAAATATCAACTAGCTCTGGAAAATCCTAATATATCAACAGGGGGAACAATATGGTAACCATAGATCACAGATTATATTTGCAAAAGGATCAATTGAAAATTTGTACCTCAGTTTAGTGACTCAACCTTCCAAAGTTTTCAAGTGATAGTGTAAGACCTGTTATTCTTTGACATGATGTACACATCTTTATAAATAATATAAAGAAAATCAAGTAAAAAGCAAGTTAAGTATTGTGAATTTTGAGCTTCAGTTTTTCAACTTGAAAATTCTGAGAGTTATTTGTAGCAAAAAGTATTGGCTTAGAAGTCTGACATTTCTGTATAAAAAGTGGTTTTAACATTAAAATTTTGTTTTTAAGGTTCAGAGAAGTTCAAACTCCCAAAGCTTTGACCCTATAAACATATTTTTCCCAATTGCTTTGTCTGTAGAAATTATAGTCTAAAATAATTGGGGAAGAATTAATGCAGGAAAGGGTGCTGCTATGGATGTGTATGTATATGTGGATTACAAACTCAAATTGAATTGTGATCTTGGGTTATCAGCTGAGAAGTAGCTCTAAAAAATTTATCAGGAGTTAAATACGTAGAGAGTGCTTGTAAGAATCTTTTAAATAGTAAACATGAACATGGGTATTACCAAACTATATTAGTCATGGAATGGATAATTTTATTATTAAAAGTTGTTACTAAGGAGAAGAAACACAGGATGACAAATGGCCTTTCTGGCTGTTTTTCCTACTCATTTGTTGCTTGTCAATTATTTAGTTTCCTGACCTGTCAACTTGTTTTATTCTAAATGGCTTGTGATATGTAATTCCTGACTACTGGCTGTTGGTGATCAAACTTGCTTTCAGAATGGTAGTTACTCTTTATTGAACACTCACCATGGGCCAGATACTTTCTTAACAATTTATATACATTAACTTCTCTTAGAATTTAAAACTCTGTTATGATTATTGTATAGCTTTAAAACTTTCTCTTAAATACTTTTATGTTGACATTGTTTTTCTTTCTTAGACATCCGCTTCAGTTCTAGCAGAAGAATTACATAAAGTGTAAGCCTATCTTTTCACACTCTTATAATTGTGTAGTCACCACTAACTGATACTTGTTAGATGCGACACTTACGATTAACTTTATATCTCTGACCTGTTCAGAAAATACTCTGAACTAGATTTGAGCAACTTTTGCTTTTTTTTTTTTTTCCTTTTTCCCCATTAGTGAGTTGGATCCCTAAACATATATTCTGCTTTTATTTATGTTTTTATTATAAAAAGAGTTGAGGAGACTTTCATTTGGGTGTTAGCAATTATGTGGAAGAGGTAATTGTTTAGAAAGTAGTGGAAGTAAATTAGTTTTTGTGTCTAATAAGTAGTTGTAGTTCTTCTGTGTCCGACTCTGTGGTTGTATACCCAAAACAAAGTTATGTGCTTTTTTTTGTGCCGTGTAATTTTGCATGGACATTGATCACTTGAGTTCGGAAGATCTGAAATCTGGTTTTGACATTGCTAGCTTTAACAAATTAACCTCTTTTATTTCGAGTTTTAAAATAGGGTTATGTATTTTAAGGAGTTATAGTAATGTGTATGACAGTTGTTAGTAAACTGAAAGGGGCTATAGAAATGGAAGCTATATGAGAACTACTGAAGTAAGGATGATGCTTTTTAAGGCTTTAAATCCTTTTGATTTGTGACTTCTGAATGTTTATTGAATGTACAAATGTCTTTCCTTCTAAAGGATTGCAGAAAAGGATAAGCAGATAAAACAGACTGAAGATTCTTTAGCGAATGAACGTGATCATTTAACAAGTAAAGAAGAGGAACTTAAGGTATAGTAATTTGTATAAATGGCTGCAATATTTTACAGGACTGAAATTTAAATTACTTTTATCCACATAATCAGTAAGTGTATATGAAGAATGGAAAATAGTCTAGAGTTCATTTGAAATGACTATTTTTCTAAACTACAAAATCCTCTAGCTCTCTATGAGGAAAAATTCAAAGGGCTTCTCTTGTGATATAATTTACAATAATTTACAATAGTTTGATAGGACTATGCTAAATAACAGAAATTGGTGGTTTCTTTTTATTTAGGAAATTTTGTAAGTTGAGACATTTGCTTAACTCTTCTGTAGAAAAGATGCTTTACAAACTTTAAAATCAATTGTATTAAATATTTTAAATGCTATTTTTCCTTGTTCTAGGATATACAGAATATGAATTTCTTATTAAAAGCTGAAGTGCAGAAATTACAGGCCCTGGCAAATGAGCAGGTAGATCTTTATTGCTTTAGAGCATTGACCTCAGAATTTCAGTTTGCGTATTTTTATTTTCATTGGTATTGTGAGCCCCAGTTTGATTGTGTAAGTAAAAAATATGATGGTTTCTTATCTTTGGCTGCATGATTTGATGTTACTATTTTTATGTTGAAATAAATGTTTGATCCAATGAATTGATCACTTCAAGAGGCAGTTAAAATGATCTTACTATGCTGATTTGAGTCTTTTATTTGAGCCATTTAATTCAAAAAAGATATACCTTTTACTAGGATAAAAGTGAGAAGTAAAAAATATCAAACAGCAAAACATATTACAGAAATGTATGGTATTGCTGTAACTTCAAATATATGGAACTATAACTTTTTAATATGTAAAAATTAGTGAAAAAATAGTTTTGAGCACTTCCTGAGAAGTGATACCATTTTCTTCTCATTCCACACACAGGCTGCTGCTGCACATGAATTGGAGAAGATGCAACAAAGGTGACTAAAGTATTGTACATCTAGTCATTCGTACATTTATGTTTAAGTATAATTGTTGCAGAAAATGTTGCTACTTATAATTGATAGTTGTGCCCATAATTCCTGTAGATTTTCTGAATGTATGAGGTATTTTAATTTACTTTTTTTCACCCTTATAGTGTTTATGTTAAAGATGATAAAATAAGATTGCTGGAAGAGCAACTACAACATGAAATTTCAAACAAAATGGAAGAATTTAAGGTGTGTGATTAAGCTTGTAAACTCAGGTTTCTTAGAACAACCTTGCATACTTTTCAGTTGAGTGATTCCAGAAATACTACATTTTATGTGAAGTCACTCTGAAACAGTGTTTTTGTAGTTCATTAGGGGACTTACGCAAACCATGAGTTTTATCATTTTTCCTGTAGATTATCTGTTCTTTTAGTAGAGCTTAGAGATTTATTTTGCTCCCCCCCCAACCTTTTCTCAGCTGGTAGTTTCTATTTGGGACTGTCTTATTTGTCTCCACTATTGCTGTAGTTCTGGTTTCTGGTCATGGCCAACCAAGTGCTAGGGTGCATCTCTGTGTCCAGTGAAATTTGAATTATGTCAGTGTATAATTGACCTGTCACTTTGAGTACTGAAAGCCGAGATAAAGGTTTGATTGTTCAAAAACCCATTCAAATGATTGCTTTATTACCTTTTTTCTTAATAAAACAGTAAATTGAGATTTTTTCTTCCAGATTCTAAATGACCAAAACAAAGCATTAAAATTAGAAGTTCAGAAGCTACAGACTCTTGTTTCTGAACAGGTAAGGTTTTTCCTAAATTACAAAGTAGAAACACTTGATATATAACAAGATCTGGTTCTTCTTATTTAGGTACCAAAAGACTAATTGAGAAATTTTGCTTGAGCTTGGATATGTCTGTTATTGCCTTTCTATTCATCCTGTATCTAAATTAAGGACATTTTTTCTTCCTGAGATGAAGTTTATGCCAGTCTGCTCAAAAGCACATTCCAGAAAAACAAAAAAGTGTAATAGGATATGCATAAAAAGAATTTAAGCCATTTTGATACATTTGACTCTTAGAATAAATGTCCTGCCTTAGACTTGGAACCTCAGCTTTTTCTTTTAGGGAGCATGGTATCTTTAAAGGTTGAAACTTATTACTAGCACTTAACAGCAGTGTGATGTTGATCAAATAGCTTAACCTTTGTGACACCTCTCATTCCAAGCCTTTCACGTGGAGATTATATTTACACTATAAGGTTGTTAGATTTGAAAGGAGAAGCTTATGTATCATGCTTAGCCTAGTGCTTTGTTTATGGCAGGTATCTAAACCTTAATTCTTTTCTCTTAGAGTATTTATTTTATCCATCTCATCTCCATCCGCTGCCACCATCACTATTCATTTCATATTTATAGCAAGGCATCAAAACTATAGCAGCTTTGAATAAGCATGGTTCCATAAATTAGAGCCCAGTGGTATCTGTTCTCTGCCTATTCCTAAGTGGTGCCTTCGTACTCTTCTCCTACGCAGCTCTTACAATTACAGTTTATTAATAAAACACGAACTCTTGGTGACACATTAGAAGGTTTGCATTTGTTCCTAATACTAAGTTTTTGAATTGTACTTTTATTGGAAGCTGAAATGTAAAGCTGTTGCAAATGATAGCACTTCTTTTAGTGAATCCTTGCATTCTTTCATTTATTTTAAAATTTACATTTATGCAGATATTAAGCTGGTGTAAGTAACTGTGCCTCTGTAAGTATTTTATTAACTTGTCAAGAAATAATCTATTTATTTTACCTCCGCATATGATATTAAGTGCATTATTACATAGTCTTACTATGTACTTTGTTTTTGCTTTACCCTTGTAAACTAAAAGTAATAGAGGAGAAAATGCTGAAGGGGTGATATTTAGTTTAAATGGCATTTAAGGCTTATTCTTTTTTTTTTTCTTGAGACAGTTTTCCTCTGTTGCCAAGGCTGGAGTTCAGTAGCACCATCTTGGCCCACTGTATCCTCCGCCTCCCAGGTTCAAGCCATTCTTATCCCTCAGTCTCCTGAGTAGCTGGGACTACAGGCACGTGCCACCATGCTCGGCTAATTTTTGTATTTTTAGCAGAGACGGGGTTTCGCAATATTAGCCAGGCTGGTCTTGAACTCCTGGCCTTAAGTGATCTGCCTGCCTTGGCCTACCAAAGTGCTGGGATTACAGATGTGAACCACTGTGCCCAGCTAAGGCTTATTCTTGTCTTATTTCCTTTTCTGGTATAGCTTACAAAAGATATGATATCAATTATAAGGTTTCTCCCCCCCCCATTTCTGAAATATGAATGTATCTTGTAGTCTCTGGTTACAGTTTAGTTGTTTAATTGGCAACATTTTAAATTTTTACTGTTAAATAGCAGTGGTGAGATATAACATTGGTGACTTGGATTAGATGTAATAGATTTTTGTGTGTGTGTTCTTACTTGAAACAGCAGAGTATATAGTTTCTGTGTGTTAGTTACCAGAGATTTTTGAAATGCTGATATCAGTGTATGGAGTTTTAACCTTTCTAAAATTAACTTCATGGAGGTAAAACAGATGCTTAGAAACTTCTGAATCTGTCCTAGAATTCTTGTATTCTAGTAGTATCCAGGTGCTGGCGACTCTTATTTAAACAGAAAACTTTTGTTCTTTACTAAAAATGGTATTTTCCATCATTAGATAAAAGTAAAACCACCAGCCTTAAATTTTTCTTTTCCTTTAAAGTCATATAATACCTTGAGAAATGCCATTGTAATAACCTTATGTAAAATTCCCAATCATTCATGAAAGTTAATATTATTGCTATCTTATTAAGTCAGCCTTTTATTATAAGATTTCTGCGTACTTTTTAGATGTTCTGTTAAAGTGACAACTTTTAGTATGAGATGTGTTTTTGATAGGAAGAATAATTAACAATTCACAGGATAAAATTTTATAGCCACATTTTTTGATTTATTTAAAAGAATTATTTGATAAGGGGGAAACTTATTTTGTGACACTAATTTAAGATCTGCTGCCGGGTAATTCTTAAGTGTTGTTCTGACTCTGAAAGCTTTTTATTAATAGTCTAGAAAGCATATGACTGAGGTTTTGGTTATAGTTGTGACTTCTTTCATTTTGGCAAAGAATCATCTTTGTGGCTTTTCCTCTAGTCGTTTTCATTGTTGCTAGTGAAAGAAGAGAAAAGATGGGTATAATCTTAATTTCTGTTGTTTCCACTTTTCTTTAACCCCTTTCTATCCCTCAGTCAGAATTCCAAGTGACAGTTGAGAGATTGAACAGTTTAGTTATGTAAAAATTTCAGTCCTTTTACCCCATGGATTTTTATTCTGGAGGAAGAGATTGAGCTTATGAAAGCAGAAACCAATAATGGTGCCAAGTTGTTGTTTCTTCAGGTGTAGGAAGCAGAAAGACAGCAGGTACCAAGTAAGGTAACCTGTTGATACCTAAAGGAGAGAAGGCTGCATTTGGATTTAGGCTTGCAGATGGTCAGATAATGCAAATAAATCATTTACTAATATTTCATTAACTCAGAATAAGACTTTTTTTTTTTTGGCTGGGCGAGAGCACATCCTGACTTTTAGTGAAGGAGCAGCATGACTTATTTATTCTTACTCCAGTAGATTTTTAAGATTCAGTGGTCAAGATTATTAAGTAAAAACTGTAGGAAGTTTCTTCATTTTGCTCTGCTGCCTTGTTAAATTGTATTGCAGAAGAATTTATTGTATATGGTATAGTTTTGGAAATCATCTAGGGTGGAAATAGTAGGATTGGATTAAACCAATAAAGTATGAAGTGAAGTAAAAATGTTGGAGGAGATGCAAACTAAGCTGGGTCAGTTTTATGCAATAGAGTATTTGATGAGCTGAAGACCAAGAATTTCTAAACTGTAACTTCATTAAAAAAAATTCAGTTCATCAAATACTTATTTACTAGTTGAGTATACACTAGGTACTTATCTACATGCTGAGCCTACAGAGATGAATGAGACTTGATTCCTGCCTTCCTAATATGGAGATAGATGTGTTAAACAGAAAATTATGGTGAATGAAATTTTGGGACTCTGTGTACAGGTTTAGAGGAAGAGATAATGCATTCTATTAATATTTGAAGGAGGTAGGGAGGTAACACAGGGAACAGCTAAACCTGATTTTGAAAAATGAGCATGAATTTGCCAAAGAGCTAAGAGGCAATCCAGGCTGAGGGAATACAATGTTCAAAAACATGACAGTGTGGCCAGATTGGCATATTCAGAGTGTTGGTATATTGCAGAAGTACAAAATACAGGAAGGATGTAAGGAGTAGAGAAAGATTTGCTAAGACCTAATTATGAAGGGCTTTGTATGCTGTGTGAGGACTATGAACCTGATGTAGCGTGTGGGTAAGCCACTAAAGGGTGTTGGAAGGATAAATGAGCATTTAGCCTAACATTTTAGAAAGAAGACTCTGGTAGGTAGGACTGACTAAAGGTACAATACAGTAAATGGTTAAGGTGCAGGTAACTTAGACTTAATAGTGTTATGTGTTTTTCTGAGATGGCATTCATTGAAAATAAATATGGACAAAAACTATCTTCATGAATGATTTAAAGGCTTAATGTATGATTTGTTTTTCATAGTATAAACCTGATTTAATGTACTTTTGACAATTCCTATTTCCCTTCTGATGTTTGGATTATTTTTTCCCATTGGGAACTTTTTTCCTGTGCCTTCTACAAAACAATTCTTACGAACTAGAAGCAGGGAGAAGAATTAGGGTATTATGATATTTGAGATGAGTAAGCTGAGGGCCTAAACTTAGGCATTAAAGAGAAGGGTTTAATTTCATAAGTATGTACAGAGTGGAATTTTAGGACTTGGATAGGGCAATGGAAAAATTAATACTATTTGTGAAAAATGATTGTAATAAGATTGGGAAAAACAAAAAAAAGATTGGGAAAAAAAAGAAACTAGCAAGATTGGGAAAGGGGCGCACAGAAGAGAATGTTCTAGGAGAAAGACCGTAAATCTTTTTGGTCAGGCTGCTTGGCTGTCTGAAGATACAGGAATACTGAAGGAGAAATCCCGCTTTGGATATAAGATAAATTTTAACATTGGGGACTTCTGTGTGTACCGGGGGATGCCAGGAGAAGTTTCAAAGGGGACTCACCTTACATGTCATGTTCTAATGCTTTATAAAGAATGTATTCCTGTTGCTTTTGCAGTTTACAATCAGTTTTAAAACATTTTATATCTTGATCTGGTTGGTAGTTACATAATATCTATCTAACAAAATTCACTGAACTGTAAACAGGATTTGTGCACTTGTCTATGTACATGTTACACCTTAGTATAGAAAAAAAAAATCACATCAATTAAAAGAGCCCGTTTGCCTGCCTTTCTCTTTTTCTTTTTTTCTTTCTTTTCCATTCTTTTTCTTTTCCTTTTCCTTTTCTTTCTTTTTCTTTCTTTGTTTTTCTTTTTTCTTTCTTTTCTCTCTCTTTTCTTTCTTTTTTTTTGGATTTGCAAGGTCTTAGAGTCTGGATTCTTTGTATTTGAAGAATTGAATTAATGTAAAGGAAGTGAGGCAAGTTGTCTTAAGGTTATCTTTTCTAGTGATTAAGATTTTCTTCATAAGATACTAATTCATTTTGCCAGCCCATTTTATACTGCTGCTTTTTCTGTGTCTCTTGTGTAGATGTATCTCTTTGTTTTGTTTTCTGAATTCTTTAATTATCAAGTCTTCAGATAAGTTATTGTCCTAAATTTTGTATCTATTTAATAACCCTAAACAGTTTTCACAAAATTATATTTCTCATCTGGTTTTTCTTTATACAAATTTGGTAAAGTTAAACTTTTTGGTGATTTTTATTTTAGCCTAATAAAGATGTTGTGGAACAAATGGAAAAATGGTAAGAGTTTAGTTTCCTTTTTATATTTTGATGAGTTACTTCTACCAAATTAACTACATTAATCATATTTTTAAAATTCTCTTTAAACTTTGTAATGGAAGAAAATGTGGTATACTGTTGATTTGGGATTACATTACCGTTTGTGGGTTTCATGTGTGGCAGTAATTTTACTTGTTGAGGCTAGCATGTAAGCATGAATTACTTGAGTACATTTTACTTGTAAAGAGGAAGTATCCTGAGACCGTGATAAACCATCCCTAGAAACCTAGAAACTTTTCTAGAATTAAGTTTATAAGAAATGATGGACAAAGGTTGATCCACTTAAAATGATTAGAAATAATAGCATTAACTGGCCGGGCGCAGTAACTCACACCTATAATCCCAGCACTTTGGGAGGCTGAGGCGGGTGGATCACCTGAAGTCAGGGGTTTGAAACCAACCTGGCCAACATGGCAAACCCTGTCTTTACCAAATATACAAAATTAGCCAGGCATGGTGGCGCATGCCTGTAATCCCAGCTACTTGGGAGGCTGAAGCAGGAGAATCGCTTGAACCTGGGAGGCAGAGGTTGCACTGAGCCAAAATTGCGCCATTGTACTCCAGCCTGGGCAGCAAGAGCGAAACTCTGTCTCAAAAAAAGAGAAGAAATAATATCATTAACCTTGAAAAATAGTTAATACATGTGTTATAAACTTATAATTTCAGCATTCAAGAAAAAGATGAGAAGTTAAAGACTGTAGAAGAATTACTTGAAACTGGACTTATTCAGGTGGCAACTAAAGAAGAGGAGCTGAATGTAAAGCATTTTGTAGTTTTGTTTTCCTTGTGTTTATTCAGTGACATAAAAGGATTTCACTGTAATTTGTGTAAGGTTTTCCCCATAGACCTTAAACTTAATAGTACCTCTCACATTTTATAAATTTATATAATGCTTTTTTATTAAAGATTTTTTTAGAAGTTAATAATGCATAATTGTAACATTGACTGCCTTAATGAGGTAGATACTATTGTTATAGTTTATCAGTTTCCCCTCTTGCACCCTTGTCCAAATTATAACCAAATGATAACTAGCAGACTTAATTCATGAAATGGTATTGGAGGCCAGAGAAGAGATTGCCATTCTATTTTATGGTTGTCATTAGCTTTAACTAACTTGATTGGGAAAAGGTTGCTGGAAGAAGTAAGTTAAAAGATATATTTGAATTTAGGGAGAGGAATAACTTAACTAACAAGTGGTATACTATGTATTTTTGAGGTTGTTCAGATATAAGTAGAAATATATGTGGGTGTAATTGAATTAAAAATTCATTTGGGTAGCTATTGAAGTTACAGAATTATAGACATGGAAAAAAGTGAGAGTTTTGGGCCTTCCAGAGTGGAAAAGAAGCAGCTAAAGAAATGAGAAGCTAATGTATTTTGAAGCTAGCTATATTTTTCAGAAAATAAAAGCATGTTTTGCTTATGTGTCTTTGAAAAAGGCAATAAGAACAGAAAATTCATCTCTGACAAAAGAAGTTCAAGATTTAAAAGCTAAGCAAAATGATCAGGTAATGTAGTACATTTTTACAACTGTTCTTTGTCTCTGTGTTTTTTGTTTGTTTGTTTGTTTTTTTGTTTTTTTAAATTAAAAGAAACGGGGTCTTGCTCTTTTGCCCAGGCTGGAGTGCAGTGGTACAATCATAACTCACCATAACTTCGAACTCTTGGGCTCAAGTGATAACTCCTCGCTCAGTCTTCTAAGTAGCTAGGGCTATAGGCTCATGCCACAATGCTCAGCTAACTTTTATTTTATTTTTTTGTAGAGATGGGGTCTGGACATGTTGTCCAGACTGGTCACAAATTCCTGGCCTCAAGCGGTCCTCCCACATTAGCTTCCTCAAGTGTTGGGATTATAGGCATGAGGCACTGTGCCCAGCCCATTCTCTTTTAAACAGGGGGTAAACTGTTGCATAGAAACAAGTCTGTTGTTTGTTTCTCTTCCTCCAGGTTGGAATTTGTCAATTACAGTTTTAATTTATGAATGATAATCAGTAATAGAGGCTGCAATTTATATAATACTGATTGTGTGCCAGGTACTGTGACGAATACTCCAGATAGGGTGCCATTGCCTCTTACTAGAGTGATAAAAAGGTTCTAAGTATACAAATATAAAGTAAGACTCTAGTAAAAGAGGCTGCCTGAAATTAGGCAGTTTCTTAGTTGCATTTTCTCTATGGTTGGAATTATTGATTAAATAATTTTAACATTTATCTAATGATTTTTTTCTTTTGACATATTTATAAGTGGCCTTAAAGCTACCTCTTTTCAAAATGCTATTTATTGTCGTTATGATGACATTAAAAAAGTCTCGAAAGAATGCCTGGGCTTTTCCTATTTGGATTTTGATTGTAGTGGAAAATCTAAGGATAATGTGCATTCCTATTTCTGACCCATTTCTATTTTGAATAAATTACTAAGTAGGATACTTTCCTATTTCCAGGTTTCTTTTGCATCTTTAGTTGAAGAACTTAAGAAAGTGTAAGTGATAACATTATTATAAACTGGTTTTTCTTCTTTGGTTCATTTTGTGTGTGTGTGCGCTCAGAAATCTAGTTTTACTGTGCAATTGGGACAGCTGATGTATGTTTAACTTTCACTCTAGAATTTTTCTTAATGGGATAAGAGAACTTAGCTGTGCTTTCCCAAATTCAGTATTATAGTAATAATTAACACAAAACAAAACAAAACCTATTTCCAGAGGATGGGAGTCAGTATAGTTGAATGGAACTTGATTCTCCCCTGTGTTCCTCAGGGTACAAATCTTGTATTTCTGATGTACTTTTGAAGCACTTAACTGACTTCTTGAAGCACTTAACTAGGCTTCAGCTCTCTGTTAGGAGGAGCTTTATATTTGCCCTGGCCCTTCTACAAAGACATGTTGCTATTTTATTTAAAATGGGAAAGGGTTGATTTGGAGAGCCATTTCATTATTTGCCGCTATTTTTATATCTTTGATGGATCTGGTGATTTCTAATCAAATTATACTGCATTTCTTTATTGAAGGATCCACGAGAAAGATGGAAAGATCAAATCTGTAGAAGAGCTTCTGGAGGCAGAACTTCTCAAAGTTGCTAACAAGGAGAAAACTGTTCAGGTATTGGGAGACAGAGAACTGTGTTTTATGTTTTTGTTTATCAACTTTAGTTAATATCATTTAATTTCATGTGTTTGTCTGTGCATTGCATTTTATGTCAATTTCTGTGTTTCCATTGTCCAATCTTGTCTGTTTTGTCATTGTCAAGGATTTGAAACAGGAAATAAAGGCTCTAAAAGAAGAAATAGGAAATGTCCAGCTTGAAAAGGCTCAACAGGTAAAAATCCCAGAGCCATAGCATGACAGATTTATTAGTTATGTGTTATTTACAAGCTATTTGATTTTTTTTCTTGTTACTCAGAAAAAACTTTTAGTAGTATGCTGTAAGTATATTGGGTTATGTGCTTTTAATTTTATTTTTTGCCTGATTTGAGAAAGTGTTCTTGATATTTTAATCTATATATCTTAAAAATTTTAACCGTTCATAGTTATTTTCTAAAACATTTTTTGTGTTAATGTTTCATTTTAGTTTGCCAATTAAAAATGAAACATGAAACACTTAGGCAATTTTTTAAATCCTCCCCACCCCTTTTAAAAGAAAACTGCATGGACCAAAATGTTATTTGAATATGCATTGCTCGACCTCTGCCTTAGAACAAAGTACAAGTTTCATTGGGATTTCAGACGTAGATGTGATTACTGGAAATTGATGAGTTTTGCTGATTTTAATCTGATAAGGCTCCCTTGAAAAAATGGTGAGATTTTCATTGAAGAGATGATTCATTCATCTCATAGATTCATTCAGCAGTATTTATTGTCAAAGCAGTTCTCGTCAAAGCACTGTACTCATGATTGGTGGATCACTAGCTAGTGATTGGAGATAATGTGTTGAGCGAAACAGGTAGGATGAAAAGATCATACTTTTCTAATATAGATTGAGAGTTCAGGAAAGTCTCCTCCCAGGGAACTGACATCTAAGCCAAGAATCTGAAGGGCCTGTGAGAAGAGAGTGGAGGATAAAAGGTATTATCAGACTGTGTATGATTAAGAAAAAATTAAAAAAGGACATCATAGAGTACTGTTGAGTAATTGGCCTTGAAAACTGGGATGGAGAAGATCTCTGATAATGGTAGGGAGGTGTGTGGAGAGTTAATATTTTAATTTTTCACAACTGTAGAAGTATGGCTGATCTGAGTGCAGTGGTATTTACAACTGATTGATCACAACCAGTTAGAGATTTCTTTATTCCTTCTCCATCCCACTGCTTCACTTGACTAGCCTAAAGAAAAAAAAATCACATTAATTAGACTTATTATTCATAACTATTTTCCTTGTCCCTCCCCCTTATTTTTAGTTTATTAATTTTTGTGTTATTGGAGTCAAGAGGAGGTAAACTCAAAACACATCTCATTTTGTCATGAAAAATTTAGCTAGTTTCTTTGTAATTTGAAATGTACACATTATAAAGACTTATAAAGCTTAATAAGTTAAATCGAAAGGATTATTAATAGGTTTTTCTGTCCTTTGTATTTCAGTTATCTATCACTTCCCAAGTTCAGGAGCTTCAGAACTTGTAAGTACCATTTATCTCATTTCGTTTTACTATTTCTTTTTCATGAGTTAAATAGAAGTATAATGAAAATTATAGCTTCTTGATTTCAAGTGGTGTTTTAGAAAATACAAAAATACTAATTATCTCAAAACTCCTAAGGGCCCTAAGTTTCTTATTTGGCTTTAACCTGTAAGTTATTTTGTGGGAAGGAGGTAGGAAGTCTTTTCATGATTTATAATCTGAATGTAACCTCAAATTGAGATGTTGCTCTTTGCCTGTTTTAATAGCCATGTGAAATTGGTATCTTTCACATCCAGAACAATTGTACTAAGTTTTCCAAATTTGTTTGTATAGACTTAAACACGGTGATACAGGGTTGAGGTAGAGCTAAAATAACTTACTCATATCTGGATATTCAGTGATAGAATGATTTTCCTTAATCATCCTGTACTTCCTGATTTGATTGTCTCCAAAATCTTACATGCTTTTTTTTTTTTTTTTTTTTTTTGAGATGGAGTCTCGCTCTGTTGCCCGGGCTGGAGTGCAGTGGTGCGATCTTGGCTCACTGCAAGCTTCACCTCCCGGGGTCAAGTGATTGTCTTGCCTCAGCCTCCTGAGTAGCTAGGACTATAGGCATGCATCTCCACGCCCTGCTAATTTTTTTGTATTTTTGGTAGAGACAGGGTTTCACCGTGTTAGCCAGGATGGTCTTGATCTCCTGACCTCATGGTCCGCCCGCTTCGGCCTTCCATGGTGTTGGGATTACAGGCGTGAGCCACCGCGGCCAGCCTTGTATACCTTTATACTTGTTAAGTTTTAGTTTATTTTAATCAGCTGGACTGTGAGTACTACCCAAAATATACTTTTTTCAGTGTCTTAAGATTTTTGCTTTTTATGGTCATGTAACATTTTCATTTAGAGTTCTGATTAATTTATTACCAGATTAAAAGGAAAAGAGGAACAGGTGAATACCATGAAGGCTGTTTTAGAAGAGAAAGAGAAAGACCTAGCCAATACAGGGAAGTGGTTACAGGTGAGAAGTTAAAAACAATAAAAAATAGCCTTTTTATACTTGACTATCAATTTAATTTACACCTATTCTTTTTAAGGATCTTCAAGAAGAAAATGAATCTTTAAAAGCACATGTTCAGGAAGTAGCACAACATAACTTGAAAGAGGTATAGTATAAACAAATTACCAGCATGTTATATAAGGAATGAGAAATCTTTGTTTAAGGTATTAGAAAGTCAAGATGTTAATATGTTCTGAGTTTCTTTGCCAGAAAAATTATACACATGGTTCTGTTGTTGTTTAAATAAGTTAACTTTTATTTCTGGCGAATCATACTTAACTGCTTAATCTGTCAAGCTGAGCCTACAAGCATTTCCTTATCTCTGCCTTTTCAAATAGACTCTTAGCTCATTCTTAACTATCTGTTTAAAGTATTAGTCTTTAATCTTTTAAGAAATAAGTATTAAAATTTGTTTAATAAAACTCATTCTGTCCTTGCTTTATAAATGGCCCAATCTTAAATTTACTGCATGTAATTATGTTTTTTTTTTTTTTATTGGTGTGTGATTCTATATCTATGTCATAGCACCTTTTTTTTTTTTTTTTTTTAATGTTAGCATTAAAAATGTGATTCTGTTTCTCAGGTCTCTTCTGCATCACAGTTTGAAGAACTTGAGATTGTGTAAGTATGCTCTAAGACAGCATTTTGAAGAGAAGCAAATGTCTCATTATTTTCCAGAGTGTGTTCGAATATAATGATGGGTTTCCTGTACATGATTAACTTTATTGTTAAGTGGAAATTATAATCCAGAAGCAAATAGGCTAAGTCTCTGTTGGGTAAAATAAAGGTTATAAATGCTTTCAGATACCTGGATTTTTTATCCTTTCCAAATCCATCAAACTCATTTTTTCAATTATTCTTTCTGCAAATCTAGACTGGTTTTAAGTTATTTTTTAAAACAAAGTATGCAGTTATTATAGAGATTAAACTTATTTCAAATGAAAATTAGTATTTGAAAGTGTTAGTAACATCTCTGAATGAACCAGAAGATAATTTTAGCCATAATCTTGATAATGAATTTTAAACCTTTCTATAATTTTAATTTATTTATAGGGAAAATGAAACTTGTCATTCTGTACTGAATAGGAAAAATACTGAATCTAGTCAGCATAAGAGGAGTCAGTTTTTGTAGATATTAATCTTAGAAAATGTTTTATTCTAGAGAGTCTGTTGTCTTAAGCTACAGCAGGTTACAGTGGTGAGAAAGGGTATCTGGACCTGATCCTTTTGGCCCTCTTTAAAATTGCTCTTAACAAATTTTTCTTGGTGATACCATTACTCTTTATTGATATTTGTTTTAAAGAAGTGTCCCCTTTTAAACTGTCAAGATATTGAGTATATTTATTAGGTTATTATCTTTTTAAAAACAAGGGAGTTACTCTGTTTTTGGAAGATTGCTCATTTGTACAATGATTGTTTGTCTTTTGGCTATTGTGTAACTGTCAAGGTGCTTATCTCTTATTTGCTTGGAAAGCTTAGGGCAGCATTTCTGGCCTATTTATAGTAGGGATATGTAGACCATTAAAGTAGGTAATTTTAGGTATATTTCTGCCTTACATTTTTTTTTTTTGCCATTTTCTTTTTTAAATTAATAGATTTTATTTTTTGTGGTGGAGCAGTTTTTATATTTGTAGGAAAAATGAGAGAAATACAGTTTCCATATACTCTTCCCAATTCTCTCTACTGTTAACATCTTGCATTAGCATGGTACATTTGTTACAACTGATGAGCCAGTAGCAGTATATTGTTATCGTTGTTATTAACTGAAGTTCATAGTTTCCATTAGGATCACTCTCTGTGGGTTTTAACCAACGTATAATGGCATGTATCCATCATTACAGTATCATACAAAACAGTTTTACTGCCTTAAAAATCTCCTGTGTTTTACCTGTGCATCTCTCCCTCCCTTCCTCCATACCTCTGCAGCACCCCCCCAACCAGTGACCTTACTGTCTTCAGAGTTTTACCTTTTCTGGAATATCACAGTTGAAATCATACAGTATATGGCTTTTCTGGATTGGCTCTTTTCTTTTCTCTTTTTTTGGAACAGAGTCTTTCTCTGTGGCCCAGGCTGGAGTGTGATCATGGCTCACTGCAGCCAGGACATCCTGGGCTCAAGTGATCCTCCCACCTCAGCCTTTTGAGTAGCTGGGACTACAGGCACATGCCACCATGCCTGGCTAATTTTTTAGAGACAGGATGTCCCTGTGTTGCCCAGGCTGGTCTTGATATCCTGGACTTGAGTGATCCTCCCACCTTGGCCTCCCAAAATGCTGGGATTACAGGTGTGAGCCACCATGCTCAGCCTTGGATTGGCTTCTTTTACTTAGCAATATGTATTTAAGTTTTTCCCTTTTTATATATTTATCTCACTCTTCATGTGTGCTGTTTTGTCATTTTTTTTCATTTAGATTTATAAGCATCTTGAAATTCTAGATCAAGATGCGGTAAAAATAAGTGTTCAGCTCAACGAATACTTGAGACTCTATTATGTGCTCTCTGGCATTGGGGATACTGAAATGGATAAGATTTCCTATCCTGAGGAAACTGTTAAACAGATCATTTTGATGGTGGTGTTAACGCTATAGGTCTATTGCTTGGGATGACCAGGGCAATTGAGATTCACTTGGGCTAGATAAAGATTTACATCTGCATTGGGTAAGGGAAAAACAGATTAAATTATCCATAGCATCTCTTCAGTACAAAGGTTATACATATTTCATAATTTCCAGGGTCAACAAATTATGACTGAGATTCTTAGGGCAAAATTCCTTGCTTTTTAAGTGGTAATTTTTGCAACAATTAGATAAAATATAGTTTTGTTCTTAGTTTTTGTTTTAGAGTTTCTTCCTAGATAAAGCCACATTTCCTTAAGAAATGTTAAGTATGACTGAGTAAATGATCGTAGAAATATCTTTTAAAACAAACTTCTAAGTTGATATAATATGGGGGAAAAAAGCTGGTTTGTATTGTTTCTGCCATCTTTTTTATTAGGGGTGATATTGGAGTCTGGTTTTCTTTTTTTATGTACTTTAGTAAATGTAGATATTTGTAAAAAATTCTAGGTTGAAAGAAAAGGAAAATGAATTGAAGAGGGTAGAAGCCATGCTAAAAGAGAGGGAGAGTGATCTTTCTAGCAAAACAAAGCTGTTACAGGTGAATATGGTGACTTAAAATTAATTATTTTGTAAATTATTGTCTTTGCATGCTTTAAAATAATTTTTAACTGCTGCCAAAAAATAGAGTACAGAATGAATCTCCCTCCCACCCAGATACTAGGTCTCATTATTGGCATATTTTTTGAGTAAGTACCCATACATAAAATGTATGTATGTGTGTATACTTGTTTATAAAATACTCTGTTGAACTATACTAACTTGTGTATTTTGCTTCCTTCACAATTAACAGTGTTTTCAAGATCTTTCCATATAAAGCACATTTCTGCCCTAACTTTTAATAGTTTTATGATATTGGATGATTATATCATCATCTTCTATTTTTATTTTTGAGACAGAGTCTCGCTGTGTTGCTCAGGCTGGAGTACAGTGGCATGATCTCGGCTCACTGCAACCTCTGCCTCCTGGATTCAAGCAATTCTCCTGCCTCAGCCTCCAGAGTAGCTGGGACTACAGGCGTGCACCACTATGCGCAGCTACTTATTGTATCTTTTGGTAGAGATGGGGTTTCAGCATGTTGGCCAGGCTGGTCTCGAACTCCTGACCTCAGGTGATCTGCCCGCCTTGGCCTCCCAAAGTGCTGGGATTATAGGTGTGAGCCACTGTACCCAGCATATATCATTTATATAACCAATCCTGGTTGATGGATACCTAGATTATTTAGGGCTGTTTTTTTCTGCACAAACAATGCAGCAGTGAATATCCTTGCACACGTTTTGAATAGTGTATCTGTATCCTAGAAGTGAAATTCTGGATCAAGGCTTATGTCGGTTTTTTGTTTGTTGAAAGAGATAGTTAAATAGAAAATCAGTATCTTCTCACCTTCATGCAGTTAGTATTCAAATTACTTACAGAACATTGATTTGAAGTGGTAGCAAATTTGTAGATGCCTACATTGTCTTGGATTAATCTTGCTCACATTACATGCTTCAAAGTTTGAGTCTATCACATTCCTTCTCCCTCTCATGTAGGTTCATTTTAAATTTTGTTAGACAGTGCTAAATAGACCTCCAAAAGTGTTTTTACTAGTTGACACTCTCACCAACTAAGGGCCATTTCCCCTTCTTCCTTTCCAACATTGACAAGGGTAAAAATATTTGATATTATACTTGAAAGATGGTAAGATTATTTTTAATTTGCATTTGATTGTGAGAGAAGTTAAGCGTTTTTCATATGTTCAAGTCATTTTTATATGAATTGTCCTTTAATTTTTCCCACATTTTTTCCACTGGGTTGACTCTTTTACTAATTTGTAAGGTCTTTTTTATGTAATAAAGGAAATTAAATAACCTTTTGTTATTATACGAGGTGATTTATTTTCCCCATTTTTTCTTCTGACTTCATTTGTGAAGGAGAAAAACCTTTTTGGGAAATTTGAAACTTTTATGTACTCAAATATAAGTAATTTCCAGAGTTTTAAGTCTTGGAAAGAAAGATGTCTCTCTACGATCATAAAAATATATTCATCTGGGTGTGGTAGTTCACACTAGTAATCCCACCCAGCACCTTGGGAGGCTGTGGCAGGTGGATCTCTTGAGGTCTGGGGATCGAGACCAAACATGGCCAACATGATGAAACCCCAACTCTACTAAAATAATACAAAAATTAGCCAGGCATGGTGGCAGGTGCCTGTAATCCCAGCTACTCGGGAAGCTGAGACAGGAGAATCACTTGAACCTGGGAGACAGAGGCTGCAGTGAGCCATGATTACAACACTGCACTCCAGCCTGGGTGACACAGCGAGACTCCATCTTAAAAAAAAAAAATTACATTTTCTTCTAATATGTTTATAATTCTTTTTGTTTAAGTTATTTCATGTAACTTATATCAGTAAGCTGTAACAATAATATTGTAACCATTAAAAAGAGAAGGCTAGCCACATTGTTAAATAATCCATCATAGCAATAGTGATTCTGTTCCCCAGGGGACATTTGTCAATATCTGAAGACATTTTTGGGTGTCACAGCTGGGGCAGCGGGGCTGGGGCATCTAGTAGATGGGTGCCATGGATGCTTCTAAATGTCTGGCAGTGCATAGGATAAACCCCCCACAGCAAAGAAAAATATCAAGCCCAAAATGTTACTGGAGTTGAGGTTGATTTGAAATGTCACTTCATACTAAATTCTTAGAGCTATTTGGGTATATTTCTGGATTCTATTTTGTTCCATTGAGACATGCAAACTCTGCTGCTAGTACTAATATAAATACTCGAATTTCATCATATGTTTTAATATAGAGCTTATTACACACTTTAAAATTATTGCTATTTTGGAATTTTTCTAGCTTGTATGATCTGTTTCTAGCTTGTATGATCTAAGTTTATGTGGAAAAAAATGTTTAGATACTGATGTTTAATTTTTGTTTAATTAGGATGTACAAGATGAAAACAAATTGTTTGAGTCCCAAATTGAGCAGCTTAAACAACAAAACTACCAACAGGTAGGTACTATTAGATGTCTTGCCTTTCACTTAGGTGGCAAAAAAATTATATAACCAGTGACATATAAGTATTTTTGCCATTTCTGCATTTTTATTGAGAATAAAGTATGTTTTATTTATGTTTATCAAATTTTATATAAAAAAGCAACTTGCTATGTCATATCCAAAGTAAAACAAATCTATAATTGATAATGTATACACAAATAATATTATTGCCTGTACTCCAGCTCTGTTTTGTATCTCTGTGTGTTTTCTGATCCTAGAATTCTTAGCAAGTCAGTTTAAATACTGTAGCGGTTGGCTTAAAGATGTGTGTACACACTCTATCTTCCCAAATGAAGCACCGGTAACTGGAGAGAAACTAACAAGTGTATTATAAGCGATAGTGTACTACTATTTAAAAGAGGTTTTCAAGTTATAATTCTGCTTGGTAAAAACCAAAATGTGTTTTTATAAAAGATGCTACCCAAAATAGCCTTTAAATTAATTTATGAATGTATATGGATAGACTTGATAGTATTTTGAGAAACATATGAATTGGAGTCCTTGCAAACAAGAAGCTTGAGAGATTATTGTCACCAAGGAATAAAAACCATATATGAAGGGCTGTGTACCTTTGCATGTTGATGTATAATTAACTTTTTGTTAAACGTGAGGAAACATAACTTGTCTTAGTTTTTCTTTTGATTTCATTTCTGTTTTTTTTTTTTTTTTTTTAACTTGGAAGCTTAACATTTTTATGTAGTCAAATATGAATTGTGCAGTTTGAAAATTTAAGATATGCTTCCATACACATAGTGGGAAATTGATAAATACTTACTAAATGAAGAGTTTAAGTATGTTGCAACAGTGAAGATTGGATTTAGCATTCAATACATTTTACAGATTTGTACATGTTTTTATTAAAATTATTTGATTAAAGTCAGGGTGACTTTTATATGAAATATATGCTATTTTTACTTTTGTTGTTTTCTTAATTTATATCTGAGAAAAGCTTCAATATTTTTAAGTCTCCTGAAAAGTTTTGTTTTGAAATAACATTTAACTCTTTTGATAGGCATCTTGTTTTCCCCCTCATGAAGAATTATTAAAAGTGTAAGTAATAAGTTTGATTCACAGTATATAAAGTAGTGACTATTTTTATGTGATAAACCGTTCTCAAATAAGCAGTTTAGTGTAACTGCAAATGGCACCTGATTTTTACAGGTCTATTTGGATATCTTGAATTACAGTTTAGAGTTGAGCGGTACCTTTGGCTAAGATGCTTTTTTTATAGTACTTGGATTTGAATATTTTGTTGAGGGAGATGTTTGTTTTTGTTTTTTTAGGCATTCAGATCAAGTTAAACTATGCTTTGCAGGGTTTTCTAAATCACCTCTATTATCTCAATTATCTTACTGGGTCTTCTTCTAGGTGTGATTGTGTAATTGAATGATGCAAATTTTGGCTTAGTTTCATTTGTTAAAGAAATTTTAGGTTAGATGTGGTAGCTCACGCCTGTAATCCCAACACTTGGGGAGACTGAGGCGGGAGGATTGCTGAGCCCAGGGTTTTGAGATCAGCCTGGGCAATATAGTCAGACCTCGTCTCTACAAAAAGTTTAGAAATTCCGGGTGTGGTGGCATGCACCTGTGGTTCCAACTACTCCAGAGGCTGAAGTGGGAGGGTCTTTTGAGCCCAGGAAGTTCACATCGTTGCACTCCAGCCTGGCACCAAGAAAAAAATATATATATATAGTCTTCATGATTGTCTTTCTTAAGGAGATTTTTTTTTAACTGATACATTTTTCTTGTTAGCCTGTAATTTTCTCTGTGAGGCTACATTTAAAGTCATTTCACATAAGTTAGTGTGTTTCAACATGTTAAAATGTCAACCACATTAAGTATATTAATAGATGATGTAAGTGATCTATCATCGGGAATATTATTAATTTTTTAAAAAAATAATCTAAATGTTTTTCCATCTTGGTTTACAGAGTTGCTTGTTTACTAGGTTAGAATTATTGACTGTTAAATCGAATCTTGAGTTTGACTATATAGAGCAAAGGTTGGCAAACATTTTCTGTAAAGACCTTGATAGCATTTTAGGCCTGTGGGACACATAGGTCTGTTTTATACATGTGTATATATATGTGTATATGTGTGTACATGTATAAATAAAACAACACTTTTAAAATGTAGAAACAGCTCTTAGTTTGAGGACCTACAGAAACAGACTGTGGAGTGGGCCCATAGCCTTAGTTTGCCAGCTGCTTATATAGACACTGATTCTCAGTGAAGAGCTATTTGTTATTTAACTTTCTACTCCAGCCACTCTCAACTATAACAGAATCAAATTATGAATCTTTGCCATTGCATTCTGCGTTTCTGGGAAACAGTAGCGGAAAAAAACATGAATGCTGAGATTAGTATGAAAATGGCAAGAAAACACTGAGCTCACTTTAATATTATACTTTTGTTGTGGGTTAGCCATTTAAAGTTATAACTGATTTCATTGCCCTCTGGGAAGAAAAATATTTAAGGGACTGCTTCTACATCCGTTTTAACTCCTCTGAAAATAGCTACTGTGTACTGACCCAAGTGAAAATATAAATAGCTACAACAGTTAATATATTCATAAACTGTTTCTTAGGGAATGAGATTTCTCTTTAGCACAAGCCTAAGTGTACCATATTAGGTATAAAAACTTAGAAATCATTTCTGAAATTCATAGGATGGGCTTTCTGTGTTAAATAGTAGGTGGACTCTTTAATGTACTTTTCAAGGTACCATTTCTTGATATTCTTATTTTGTAGTAACAAATATTGATAGGTAGGAATCTGAGTTGTATTACTGTTTACCTAAAATCTTGCTACACGTATTCATGTTCTGGTTTAGAATTTCAGAAAGGGAGAAAGAAATAAGTGGTCTCTGGAATGAGTTAGATTCTTTGAAGGATGCAGTTGAACACCAAAGGAAGAAAAACAATGTAAGTAAATCTTAATCAAAATGAAGCTTTTCTTTTTATTACTTTAACACTGAAATATGGTCCAGGAATTTTTTCTTAATCTACTTTTACTTTAGATTTCTTAATCTTTGTGAGAAAGTACTATTTTCCGTGTATAGTTTTTCGGGGGGTGGGGCATTATTGGAGAACAGTTTTTTTAAAATAAGTGAAAAGACGAATTCTTATTCTTATAAATATTTAAATGTTGAAGTTATAATTATTACACCTTTAGTTATTTTTAAAAACTGAAAGTGCAGTTGACTTTTTGTTGAACTTTTATTTGGAAAACATGTTTTTCAGCTTGGTATTTTAAAATCAAAGGTATTTCCTCTTAGATTGGGCTGGCCTTTTTGTAAACCAAAAGTAATACCAGTATTCAAACCCAGTATACTCAGTAATGAGGTCTTTTGAAAGCCTTCTGGTTTTTTTTTTTTTTTTAAAGACAGGGTCTTCCTCTGTCACCCAGGCTGGAAGTAGCATGAACTCGGCTCACTGCAACCTCTGCCTGTTGGGTTCAGGTGATTCTCCTGCCTCACCCTCCCGATTAGCTGGAATTACAGGTGTGCACCACCATACCCAGCTAATTTTTTTTGTATTTTTAGTAGAGATAGGGTTTTACCATGTTGGCCAGGCTGGTCTCGAACTCCTGACCTCAAGTGATCCACCTGCCTCGGCCTCCCAAAGTGCTGGGATTATAGGTGTGAGCCATGGCACCTGGCCAGAACCTCTCATTTTTAACTGAGAGGTGGTTCAAATTTTGGTAATTAAGTGTGTTAGAGGCTATAGAACCTAACTATGTTTATACTAGAAAGCGGGGGGTAGTGCTTTCAGAAATATGAATCTTAATAACTTACTGAGTAGACAAATAATGAATTTAGTAGAATTTCTTAAATTTTCTCATACCAGAGGACAACACCTATAAAGTAGAGTCCAAGCGTTCTTGCTAGAGAAGAAATTTTTGTACACTGTACTGTGATTGCTAACACTTGAGCAAGGGTAAACTGTTACTGAAATCTAAGGGAGTATTGCTAGTAAATGGATGTGTGTTTTCTATTTTTCAAAGTTTGCATTAAATTGTTAATTTAACAAGTTGACATTTTCTTGTACCCCTGAGTTTGTCAAAATTAGGTACATGAATTGCTGCTTGTGTGTTGGTATAACAGTACTAACAGCATTGCTTAGCCACAAAACTTGAGGTGAACTTGCCGATATACTGCTAACATCTTAACTGTGTTTTATTATTGGGATTCTGAGATAAGGAGGGCATGGTAATGCAGCAGCAGCAGCATCAGCAGCAGCAGCACTGGAGACACTGAACCCGTGTGAAAAGAGCCAGGACACTGGAGGCCAGCAGATAGCAGTGTCAGTCTTTCCTTTTAGTTCTGCCACTTCATTTTCTTTGTGTACTTGGCTCAGTTTCCTAACTTACTTGAACTGTGGTTTCCCTATCTATAGAATGGGAATAAATACCTCATGCGGTTGTTGTAACGATGAGAATTTGTGAACTGCCAAGTACAGTGGTTGGCATATATTAAGTAATAAATGGTGATTATTGGCTTTTTTTGTTGTTGTTGTTGGTTTTTATCTGTTTAGATTTCTCATTCTGGAAAAAAGACTGAAATATAGAAGATTATATTTATATTTGTGAATGAAATGCTGTTAAAATCCAGATCTCTCAATTTTTAATAACCTCTCTCTCCTCCAAGAGAATCTATTTTATAGCCTTCCAGCCTTCCCCTTTGCTTTGATCAACTAGCTCATACAATTCATGTAAGGTTGTTTTGTGGCATGAATGTTAGGCCATGCCAAGAAAGACATAGAACACAGTGGGTTACTATGGGATTCCTAGGTAGATTCGAAACATGTTAATTGTATTAAAACATAGAGAAAAAAATGTTACACTGCAGTGGAAAGTCCTATGAGTGTTATTGGGCCTTGTTTAAACATCAGATGAAAAGCTTTTTGTAATACTTCTATATTTGCTCTGTCTTTAATCTTCTAATGTTCAATGTACCTGAAATTATGTATGTATTCTTGGTTTGTGTCTTTACTTTTGAATGCTTTCTTCTTTGTCACATGTGCATAGTAGTTATTTTAAAAGCTGGCCTATTTGGTATATATACTAAAACATGGAAAGTGGGCATCTTTATTTTCTCATTCAAACTTCTAAACATTGCTTTTTATTTTTTTGCTAATATGCATATTTTCCCATTGAAATAATTTTGCAGTAACCAGCATTTAAATGCAGTGCAAAATACTGATGAAGTAAAAAAGCAAAAATCTTTCAATAATGGATAAACTGAAATCATTCTTTCTAAAAATGATTAGGACCTTCGGGAGAAAAACTGGGAAGCAATGGAAGCATTGGCATCAACTGAAAAAATGCTGCAGGACAAAGTGAACAAGACTTCCAAGGTTGTAATGCTAACTCCTAGAAACAATCCACTGAACAGAGAAAATCTGCAGCTTGTCTTAAAATCAGACTAAAGCATTTACTTTTACTGCAATTTAAATATAAAATCTCCTTGTCCACATTTATCATCTCTATCATCTCTGCTTTTTTCATCTACTCCTTGAAGCTTTAATTTTGGGCATGCTGATTTGTTGTGATTACCTGATTGTTTGGGCTTTGTTGAGCACAACTTTAAGCTGAAGAGTCTCAGAAGACTGATGTTAACCTCTTGTCAGACAATATGCGCCTTTTGGGTTGGTTAAGATAACTTTCATGAAAACTTTGAACCAAAGAAATCTAGGTGAATTAAGAAACACATTTGAATATGTAGGATGTGCCATAAACTAGGTGTTTTGGAGGGCACACCAAGATGTCACAGATAAGGTAGAAAAATGTTAAAAGTCTTAAATACAGGAAAGGCATCAACTTTCGGTATGTTGCTGGGAATGATTCCTTAGAGGTGGTGGACTGAAACTTCATATATTACTGGATAGCAATGACATATATGGCATGTTTAGATGAAATATTACTGTCAAGGGATAATTCTCTTGACCAGAGTATGTGAAGTACTCTTGAAATATATAGCCCCCTTTGTCTTCAGAACAATGGAGGACATTCTCCTTGAGCTCAAGTTGTACCATTGAGTGTGAAGATTTCTAATGAATTGTCATAGAGAGGTTGTTTTTAAAGATTGAAAAAATTGAATCTGCCAGTCCAGTCAAGTATTTTGAAAATTCCTGCCAAAAATAAATGTGAAACAGGGGTATTGAATTTTGCAGATAGGTAAATGAAGGAACCTACATGATTCATTTTAGCACTGTGAAAATATTTTGTGTGCCATGGTACTCTATTGAATCTTTAATATAAGTCTTAGTGACACCTGAAGGAATTTTTAAGTATAAAATAGTTCTGTAATTTTTTTTTTTAGCAAGTATACGTTTATAGTTATATTTCCTATAGCTTAGTGGATTTGTGTTTAACAATATCCCTATTCATCTAGCCATAATTTTCAGTAAAGGTTGAATTCGAGATAGCTGGGAGGTATATTGGGACCACAGAGTAGGAAAATCTAGGTCAGATAGAACGTTTCATTGGGACATTTCATTATTTCATTGGGAGTGGTTGCAATTGTACAGTCATTTCTGTCAGGGTTTTAGTGTGGTTTCTGGTTGTTTCTATTTGTTTTTGACGGTTAAGAGCCACCTTTTTGGTTTTATTTTGTTAGTGAGACTGGGTATCTGGGTGCTCATCATGCCATTCCTACAAGAAGTTACATGCTACTTGCCATAGGCATTTTTGCATTTTATGATTCTAAAAGAAAGCTAGAATTTTTGTGCATGATGCCTTCTTGCATAGCTAAAGATCTGCAGAGAATAGAATAGAAAGTCTTCTATATTTCAATGGAATTTAGACAGTCCTTAGATAGCATAGGTGAAAGGGATGTTGATTGACCCAGTGCTGTAAATTATGTTGTGATGAGAAGGAACTATGTGAAACACTTTCAGTATTTTAACTAGAAATAAGTTACGGTCAGCTTACCTAAAATGTAAAGAGGATGATATATGCTGTCTTTACAGGATTATTTTTAAAGGCTAAATACTCTTGAGGAGCTACTGAAAAAAACTTGTATACATTTCACTTAAAGATGGTATGCAAATTATAGTTCAGTTTCAATATTAGATCTTTCCCAGATGTTAAAGTGGAATGGAAATTGCTATCTATAACCAAACTACTATGTCAGATGAAAACTTCTTAGATAAAATTGTTGATACCAAATAAAAGTAACTTTCCATGTTTGTGGCTCTTGGTTATGTTAGACACTTTGTTCTTTTAGTCTGTTTTTTTCCTTGGAAAGTTTTCAAAAAGCTGTTCCTCAGTGTTTCTTTTGCTAACTGGTTTTCTTTAAAGATCACTGCTTTGGTCAAATGATAAGAATTACCTCTTAATATCCTTGAAGGTAGCGTTAATTATTTTCCTTATTTTATGTAGTTAGGTGTATTCCTGAAAATTAGTGGACCTCATTGAATTATTGAAAATACCCTATTAAAACACCTATTGTAAAAATCTGCTGATCTTTAATTAACAGCTTTTTGTGTGTATGGAAAATGGCAAAATCTGCAGCTGTTTATTGTGTAAATTTTCATATGATTAGATTTTCTAAAATTGAAGTGTATAGACCTTAAATCAGTGATAGATTTCAAATTTCACATCTAAATGTTGGGGGAAAGAGATGGTTGAGATGTTTCTAGCTTGCTTGCCTTCTTGTCACCTGTTGAACTTTGTGACTGTTGTTTTTAGATGATTTTCTTGGCTTGGTTTAGATGTGCATTTTTATAGGGGTCTTTTTTTTTTTTTTTTTTAAATTTCATGGAGGTAGTTTGAATGTTAGATTTTTTTTTTTTTTTTTTTTTTTTTTTGGTGTGTGATAAGTCATTACCCTAATTTTGACAAACCATGGTTTTGAGTTATAATTGATATCCGTTAGACTTGGATTTAATATCAGCAAATTTAGACTTACACATTTGTAATATTTGTAAATTTATAGCAGAGTCCATATACAAGTGTCAGAACTAGTTTTTATGATGTGTGGCATTAGTGAAGTAATATGCCATCAGTTGCTCCTTGTTCTTTTTCCCATTTATATCATCCATCAGATTTTAATGGTCCTCCTTGTTTAGCGTAAATACTTCACATGGCCTTGAAGTTGGAAATAAGGAAGTTACCATTTTAATACCATGACATTATATGGTCCATAAGTGATGCATTTTTTTTAATAGAGATATACCAGCCAATAAACCTCAGTTATGTTCCTCCAATGTGTATTTTCTGCTATTGGTAGTTTATGAAGTTTTAGCTATAAGAAGTGTTTTTTGTGTGTCTATTTTTGAAGTGTTCCTGGACAGGCAAATCACTTGATTTCTAAATGCCAAGGAAAATGTCCATATTGTCAGATATTGCTAAGGCATTATTTGGTATTTAGGATGCTTTAGAGATTTTGCAGATTTTTTCTTATGGGAGCATTTTAATATCTTTAAGTGGGAAATTTTAACATTTGTCAGTATTAAACTTTTTTTTTTTAACTTTTTCTTCCTGTAGAATTTAAGACACCATAGTTTTTTATTTTCTGTTTTTTAAAAAATTCTGTGATCTTGTGAGTTTGATTTGGTTCATCTTCTGCTTTAGGAAAGACAACAACAGGTGGAAGCTGTTGAGTTGGAGGCTAAAGAAGTTCTCAAAAAATTATTTCCAAAGGTGTCTGTCCCTTCTAATTTGGTAAGACTAATTTATTATTTTTTTAACATGATGACATTATTCAGGAAAGGTATGAATAAGCAACATCATTTGCACTCCTCTTGGTTTCAGTAGAGTGCTGATTCCTTGATCTTTCCCCTTGTTAAGCTGGTGCTTTTCAGTAAAGATTAATAACTTGATTTAAAACTGATTTTTATTTACCTGATACTTTTGTTTCTATAACATTTTATGAGACATTATTTAGGGGATTAAAAACATCATTTGGGAAAGAAGTGTTTTTTAATGCTAATAAAACCAATATGGTAACATTCTTAATGGCTTTATTTCAAACTTAATTTTGAGTGATTGCTTCTTAGTTTTAGCAATACTTCCTTAATGTACTTGATACTATGAACCAGGCTCTTTGCATTTTAAAACTCAAGATTTTTGGTCATCTCTTACCTTCTTCAAGCAGAAATCTTACAGATAATACAGAACAACTTGGTTTATTTAAGGTAGTACATGTTCTTGTTTGTTCAGAGAATTAACAATAATTATTTGAGGGCAGAGAAAGTCAGTGAATGTGCATGTGAGTTTCCTGAAATAGAGTGTAGGGTCTTTATTTTATTTATTTTTTTTTTAATGGAAAACTGTTCAACAGTAGAGAGACAAGCATAATGAGGCCCCATTTACCCAACATGTCTCCATGGCACTTATCAGTGCATGGCATGCATATAAGCAATCATGTTTTACCTCCTACCCTGTACTCCCTAGATTATTTTGAAGGAACTCAAACATCAGAGCGTTTCATCTGTAAATATTTCAGTACACATTTCTAAAACATAAGTATTTGTCTTTAAAAAGTATCATATTACACTTGAAAACACATTCTTAATTTTGTATAGTATGCGTTTCTCCAGTTGTCATATAAATTGTCTATTTTATTAAATAATAACTTACTGTAGTTTGTTTTAATCAGGATCCAAATAAGGTCAGTATGTAACTGGTTAGAGACATCTCTTAGATATTTTTTAATCCACGGGTTCTCCCACTCTTTCTCAGCAACACCCCACCTCCTTTAAAAAAAAAACAAAAGACTTAGTGGTTTCCTATGAAGTTTCCCACAGTTTGGATTTAGTTGACTGCATCCCTGTGGTGGTAGCATGTTCCTCTTTTCTTTATATATCTTTTATGTGTCAAATCTGTAATCAGGAATCTGATTCCTAGTCAGATTAAGGCTCAGTATTTTGGGTGTAGGGTAGAGTAGGGGCAAGACCACTTCATAGGCAGTGGTGTGCACTTTTATCAGGAGATTCGTAATGTCTGCTTGTCTTCCTTTGGCCCATTGGAACTTATTTAGGTTGGTTACCAAGTCGTTTTGACACAATGCTGCTAAACTTTGATAGCTTCTATGCTTTGTGGTATGATAAGGTGCTCCTGATTTATCATATACATTTCCTGCCCCAAACATAGAATCAACTATTTCTCCAAGGAGCTCTGTGGGTGCTAGGGGTGGGGTAAGTAAACTTAATGGCTTGTTCTATTTGTAGTCTGAGTTAAGTATAGCCTACATTTATTTCAAGTAAGGAGAGAAAACTCCTTTGTTTCCATTGTAACTATCGAGGATATGTTCAGATTTGATCAGTTTAGGAGATCTCTACCACTTTTGAGTTGAACTGATGAAATATCTAGCACCGAGTAAATGTATAGATATGCTATCAGTTCTAGTGCTGTTGTTAAATTGAACCTAAGAGAAAGGGTTATTATTAATATATTTAATTTTTTTTCTTTGTGGCATAACCCGTTTTTGTTTCTACTTTATATTTTATTTATAGAAATAATACCGGGGGATGTATTTTTTGGCAGTAGTTTATGAGCCAAGAGAACTAATGATTGATAATTTCTGTTCTTCAAAGATTGTATAAGATCACCAACAGTAAAAATTTTCTTTTTTAACAGCAATACTATCCACTGTCAGTAACCAAATCTTTTTGACACTATAAATATTTATAAGTCATCATAAGATATGGATGATATTGTTTGGCTTTTGTTCATATACTTGTTAAAAGTTGAATATTTCTGCATATAGTCTACAGGAAATGTACTAAACTTTCTGTGTGCTAACATTAGACTCTGGCATTTTAGGTTTGTAAAGATATGAAGAACAATAAACTATTTACCTTATAAAATAATAAAGCAGTAGGCTTCATTAACATTAGGATAAGTCAAGATAATCAGTAGATATAAAAATATATAAATTTTTTTACTGTTTTCTTTTGTTTTGCTGAGCAGTCAGCATAGGAGAGATCTAAATTATATGACCTAGAGGGAGATTTACAAACTTTAAGCAACGAAACTAGTTTTTTAACTTATTTTAATTTATGTTGGGTGCCAATAGTTGAAACTGTTAAGTAGCATTCTGATAGTGTACATTTAGTCTTGGTTCAGATTTATGTTGTGAGAATGTTAAATAGTGTTTTAAAACTAATTTGATATTATTAAAGGTATTGTACTATGGAGTGACTCAGCATCTACTTGTTTTTTGTTATTTGATAGTTTGCAGAGAATCCTGATTCAGCTGCATATGTAACAGTTTATATTATAGCAGTTAATAAAAATTTCATGAGTTTTTTATCTTAAATTTAATTCAAAGACTTAAGGAATAAGAGGAAATTTGATTTAAAGTATCTGACACACAGATCCTCTTTATCAAAGTGTAAAATTCAGATAAGCGTCAATAATTGAGAGTAATTTTTTCTAAAATTTGGAGTAAATGCCAAAATTGTAATATATGCATATTTACATCAGCTAACCTGTCAGCACAAATTGAGTTTTTGTTGGATTTAAATAAGTAAATGTGTGTGCATATCACTTCTCATTAGGATTTTAAAAATACTTAATATTTCCTAATTTGAAATATTTTTAGAGTCCTTGGAGCATTTTCATAGAATTTGAAATCCTCCAAATGGAACATCTTCAGTTGAACTTTCACTTTATGAACTCAAAATACTTCATTTTGGAGAACTGTTTTATCTGGAAACAGTTTGAAAAATTATTCTGGGTTTTTTGTGTTTTAAAGATTATTTGTCCTGGTGCTAGTAAGTGGTAGAGGCCAGATTTGAACCCAGGTTTTTCTACCTGCAACTGCAGAATTCAGTTGAAAATATTCTTGGTTAAGTATATAATATTTTATTTTGATGGTAGGTACGTAGGTCTGTTTTTAGTGCTTGTTTTTAAAAGTGGGTTATGTCCAACTTACGCAGTACATTCCTCCTTGAAATTTATAGCAGTGTCCTGTTTGTCTCTGTAGGTTTCTTTTATAATTATCTAATTTGGTTATTTTAAATGTTTCACCTGTTTTATTTAGATTTTTGTTTTTGAAAATTAATGATTTTAACTTTTCTCATCCACAGAGTTATAGTGAATGGTTGCATGGATTTGAAAAGAAGGCAAAAGAATGTATGGCTGGAACTTCAGGGTCAGAGGAGGTTAAGGTTAGTTCAAGAAATGAACTGTTTGTAATTTAAACATAGAAAAAAGAAGCAGATAAGATTTTGTCTTCTTGAGCTTGGAAAAGATAAAAGATAATCGAATAAGGCTCTTTTGAGAGAGTGTAAGAAGGTGATTTCATTTTGTTTAAATTTTAGTTGAAATGCAGTAGGTCGTCTTTGCATTTGGTTTGTTTACGAAGCTAGTGTTTGCCATTCCTTTCATTCTGTATTTTAATTGTTTCTAAAATTGAATATTTATCTCTTACTATCTTTTTAGCCTAGATTTAAAAAGTAAAGATCAGTCGAGATAGGTAGAATCTCACTGGTTTGCTGAAGCATCCCCAAATACATCATTAGAGGTATTTAGAAACTGGATTGGTTTTTATCCTTGGCTACTGAAATTGGGGAGATTTATTATTATTGTTTTCTTATATCTCAAGTGGCATGAATAAAACCCTATTTCCCATGTGTGTAGTAGCATAGGCATTGTGACTGTACTTCACATGTGGTCTGCTTTGATCTTACCACCTGACTAAAGACTTTAGTACCAAGACTTTTTATTATAGCATTGTTTAATAAAAATGACCAAAGGGGTCATTGAATGAACTTTATTGCTACTTAGAAAGGTCGAAATGTAGTGTGTCATTGTGAAATACTTTGAAACCATTTATCATAATACAGTATTAAGTACTAAAACAAACTTGAAGCACAAAACTTTCTGGTAGAATTATGGAAGTTTTCTTTATTTCATTCTTTGCAGGTTCTAGAGCACAAGTTGAAAGAAGCTGATGAAATGCACACATTGTTACAGCTAGAGTGTGAAAAATACAAATCCGTCCTTGCAGAAACAGTAGGAAATGATTTTTAATCTACATTTTGATTTTACTTTAAATCATTACCTTCTTCCTTCATGGCTTAAATAGTTTTTATCTTGGCATTAGAACATGAATTTTTCAAAACAACTATACTTTTGTCTGTAGGAAGGAATTTTACAGAAGCTACAGAGAAGTGTTGAGCAAGAAGAAAATAAATGGAAAGTTAAGGTCGATGAATCACACAAGACTATTAAACAGGTATTTACGAAAGAAAAGCTTAGAGCAGTGGTTCTCAGTGTGTGGGGCTTGGCCCAGCAGCATCAGCATCACCATGCACATTCTTGGGCCCCAACCCAGCTACCAAATCCAAAACGTGTATGTGGAGTGGCAGCAGTCTGTGTCTTCATGAGCCCTCCAGAACAGTCTAATGCCCACCCAAGTTTGAAAATCACTGGTTTTAAAGTATGACTCAAGGGTAATCATATAGAATGTAGAGTGCTAGTTATAGAACTATTGTGTGATAAGGTAAAGAATAGTGGGTTCAAAATCAGTTTTAAAGTATTTAACCCATAATACAGAATTCAAGAAAAAGTTAGTCATTCTTCTATTTGTGGGACCTGAATGTTATTGTGCAACCTTAATTTTTCTCCCATTTACTTCAGCGTGATAAAGGGTACCATCTGTTACTCACTTATTTTTTGGGACCAACGTGCAGAATTTACAGTTGCTGATAGTACTCTACTTTAATGCACTTGCAGAATAAATACAGCTGAATATCAGTTAATACTAATCAAAAATTAATCACTTTTAGCTGAGCCTAATATACAACTGGAGTAGGTTTTGACCACAATTTAAATTAAGTTCAATGTGACTCTCATGTTTAAGGTCTTTTAAAATTCAGTAAGACTTTAAATGAGATGCATTTCAAAACCTTGGAAGTGTCTTTTAATTGATTCAGAATTCTACAGGATAGAAACCGCTATATCCTTGGTGGTTTACTTGGCCATATAATTGTTTCACATTTCAGATGCAGTCATCATTTACATCTTCAGAACAAGAGCTAGAGCGATTAAGAAGAGAAAATAAGGATATTGAAAATGTATGTTATTTGATTGTTTTACTTGTAACCTATAGATTTGTTTTTAGCATTAATGGTTGTCTGAAGATGTATGGTTTAAGATTACTTTATAGTTATGCTCTTAATATCTTGGGTAGTGTTTGAGTTGATATAGTTTTATATTCATAAGTGTCATAACTTTGCCTTGTGGGGAAATATTATGAAAGGAAATTTTAAGTGTGTTAACTTTTCCTTTGTTGAATTGCTAGCTGAGAAGAGAACGAGAACATTTGGAAATGGAACTAGAGAAGGCAGAGATGGAACGATCTACCTATGTTACAGAAGTCAGAGAGGTACTTACAACAGAATCTTTTCAAACTTGCTTCACAATTCAGATTGTTTATAACAGTGATATTTCAGTATAAGTTGTTTGTGGCAGAGCTTCCGAGTAGCATACAAAACATGGGCTATCATAAGGAGATCAATCTTAAACTCTAAACTTCATTGCAGCTGAAAGATCTGTTGACTGAATTGCAGAAAAAACTTGATGATTCATATTCTGAAGCAGTAAGACAGAATGAAGAGCTAAATTTGGTAAGATGCTTGTCCTCCACTGGGTATCAAGTAGGCACTGAAAACACTTTGTTGACATGTGGAGAAACCATCAAAGCTTTTTTTTCTTTGCTAACATCTTTAGCTTGGCCTTTTTGTAAGTCTAAGATAATCTTCATATTCCGATGATTCCTAAGATTATCTTTCATTTCTTGACTCCTAAAATGATCCTTCTTTTCTTAGCTCCTAACAATGGCATGTTTGGCTTCCAGCTCTTTTTCAAAATTTTCCGTGTTTTATAAATCCTGTTTTCTCAAACAGCAGTCTTTTCTGTGAATAAAGAAATGAAATAAAGGTTGGCTGAGTTACAAAGATTTTCTTCTCAGACTATCATAGTTAATGGGGCCTTTTATTTTCTAACCTGGGAGAAGATTATATTGAAAGCCAAAGACACACATTCTTCATTCAAGGACAGTAATCCAGTTTCTAATTTTAACCTAGTCTCTCTATATATTACAAATATTAAAAAACATATAAAAGTCTTTATTATCAACATATTATTTCGAGCATGGTGATCCTTTGAGATAAAGTTAGCATAGACTTTGAGATAAAGTTAGTTAAATGTCTTAAAACATATAGTACCCTGTATTCCTATTCTTAAGTTTTCTAAAAACTGTACTGATTGTGACAGACTTAGCTATTAGACAAATATGGCTGTCTTGCTCTCTGTTTCAAACAACAATTGTTATGTCTTCCTTGTGAGTTAAAAATTGTTACAGCACAGGGATTAGATTTTTTTTTTTTAAGTACCTTAATAAACTCTCAGAAGATTACAGTAAGTTTTATCCTTACCCAGAGTTCACCCTGCCCAGTTTGGAATTTTCTTTTTAGCATTACTCCATGTACCAAGAAAACTTTAACTCATTCTTTTGTGGTTGGTATCCTGTTATGGCAAAAATTTATGGGAATCAATTTTTAGAGCTGTATGAAATACAGGTTGTGTATCCTTTATCTGGAATGCTTGGAACCAGCAATTTTTGGGGGGATTTTGGATTATTTGTATTATATGCTTGCTCTGTATGTGTCCCTTATCTGAAAATCCGAAGTCTGAAATGCTCCAATGAACATTTCATTTGAGTGTCATGTCAGTGCTTAAAAAGTTCAGGATTTTGGAGCATTTCAGAGTTTTTCAGATTAGGGATGTTCACACACAGCCCTATACACACAGAGCCCTACACCTCTAATTTTTAAATCTTTGTTTTATTTACCAATGTTTTGCTTTAATTGAACTCATTCACACTGCATTGTGAGATTAGTTCTGTGCTATACATTGCACAGATTAAGACTATGATATGTCATGACTATAAGTCCTCACCCTATAATATGTTTTTAAAAAATCATTTCTAACTTGTTGTTGGAGATTTTACTTATTAACTTTGTGCTTAGTGGCTGACTCAACAGTTACATGGTTACATCTCCACTCAGCTTAATGCTTTATTTTGATTTTTTGTCACTCTAGTTCTGTCAGGAGATTATTTTGAGTGGTTGATACTTACTTTTTTTCCCTAGTCTTGAGTTTGGAATTTTATTTTGATGTTTGTTTGCTCAGGATAACTGCTACTACTTTTTGTGATAAAATAGCTTTGTTTGCCTGTATGTACTTTGTGTATTCTTCCGCCAAAAGGTTCATTTCTGTGATGGAGAATATTAAAACTCAAAGTTATATAAAGGAGCAAAATTTATTTGGGTACTTACAGAGTTCCTCAGATAAAATTTCCAAGTGGAATTTCCCTCTGCCCCACTGCTGCCCCTTTTTAATTCTCCCTCCAATTTTAAATGTCACTGCCTTATATTTCCACCTTTGGGCCTCCAGAACTGTTTCAAAAGTGCCCATGGGTGGGAAGCAAAAACAATTACCTTATGAGAATAAGAAGAAAGTTTTTTGGGAGCAATATAGTTCATTTTCCTTGCTCATATTTAATTGGAAAATCAGAGAAGTGGCATTATATATTTGCATTGGAGTTACAGAACTTTCTGTTTTGACAGATTGGTTATTCATAGGTGTATCGTAAGGCATTTCTTGATGGTATAATTTAGGCCAGTGTGGTCTTGTACTACCCCTTAGTGAAGCCTTAAGTGATGGTCAGTATTTTGGGAGTTTTAATTTGATTGGATTTGTAGTCTTCTGTTCAATGTCTTTAAAAATATTATATAATTGACTCTTTAACTGTATAGATTAAGAAAACCTTTAGAAACTAATGGGTAAAGTATCTGTTTGGTTTTTAATTTGGAGTAATTTCAGTGACTATAAATACCGATACCTTTAAAAGGCACTTTACTGGAATTTGATGGTTTTGTTTTCGCATTTGTGGTTTTCTACTCTAAACTAGTTCATTTCTGTGGCTTTTCTTATGTTTAGCTTTACAGATGGAAACCTCTACTGCTTAGCCTTTCTATACATCTGGTGCAGCATATTGGCTAATCCACTGTGCATAATAACTGTTAGCAGTCCCATTCATTCTTCAGTCCTAGAGGTATCAGCATAATCAAAGAATGATGCAAATTAAGTTAATTGTGATGTTCCTTTATTTTTACAGTTGAAGGCACAGTTAAATGAAACACTCACAAAACTTAGAACTGAACAAAATGAAAGACAGAAGGTAGCTGGTGATTTGCATAAGGTAGGCACTGTTTGTCCTAGAGATGTAGTATCATGAGCCTATGTTGTGTGTTGAATCTTAAGCAAAGTTATGCTGCTAATTCTGGGTTTGTTGTTTTGCATCATTATATTAACCTTTTATAAATTTAAGCTGCTTATTATTAGTTACTATTTTGGAACAAAACTTTTTGGCTTGTTTTTCCAGGATTCTTAATTCACCTCATTATTTCATCACATTTCTATATTTAATTGCTTTATAAAGTACAGAGTAAAATTTAGTTGGAGTTATTAAAATTTGGCTGCATCCATATATTTTTTAAAATTGGGATTTGGCTGTGTATTCATTTACAAAGTATTTTTCTCTTGGTCTTTTGGATAAAACAAAGTTATAAATTTCTATTTTTTTTTAGAAGTTTTTCCTTCATTTATTTCTTCATACAAATATATTTTTCCTAATCTCAATGCAAATGAATGATTTTTAGGACTGCATTTCTTTGCATTGGCTTGACAGGTTATTTATAATTCTATTTTGAGATATTTTTAATGGTAGAATTCACATATGCTTATATCAAAGCTGTTTTAGAGCTATGATAGTGTTTATGGGATATATCATCATTAGCAAAACAAATGTCACTCTTTGGAGTTGCAAGAACAAGAGGTACGCACATCTTAAATTTTGATAGTATAAAATGGAATCCCAGAAACCCAACAGTAATACTTTATACTGCTCCCAACATGGTATGAGGACATGTATTTCCCTATACCCTCACCAGTATTGGATATTGTCTACCGTTTAAATATTTGATATTCTAATAGATTTTAAAAGTTATCTCATTTTTAAAAATAATACTTTTAAAGAGTTGGATTTTTTTTTTGATTCTATATGCTTATAGTTTATAATTGTTATGTAAAAGTCTAGGAATCTACTAGTGTTTCAGATTATTTTAGTGTAGACAAAATGTGAATTTGGGTCTGTTTTAGAGGACAAATTTTGATGCTTACTGCACTGTCATGGTTGAGCAGTCAGTTTACTTTGATACATGATTTTAATTTTTAACCTCTGGATCAAAATATAAAACATGCAATTTAGCCTAGCAATGTAGTTTCTTAGAAAGTACTTTAAAAATACTAAACAAGTGCTTAAAGTTACAGATATACCATCTTACTTACTTACACACCATCTTATGGCAATGATAGATGACAATTAACTGTCCCATACCTATACAGTAGAAATATTGTGCAACATTTGATTGGAAATACACATAAATATTTGACTTAAAAAAGTTAATAATGGCTGGGTGTGGTGGCTCACGCCTGTAATCCCAGCACTTTGGGAGGCCGAGGTGGGCATATCACCTGAGGTCAGGAGTTCAAGGCCAGCCTGGCCAACATGGTGAAACCTCTCCGTCTCTACTAAAAATACAAAAATTAGCCAGGAGTGGTGGTGCGCACCTGCAGTCTCAGCTACTCAGGAGGCTGAGGCAGGAGAATCTCTTGAACCCAGGAGGCAGAGGTTGCAGCGAGCCGAGATTGCACCACTGCACTCTAGCCTAGGCGACAGAGCAAGACTCTGTCTCTAAAAAAAAAAAAAAAAAAAAGGTTAATAACATACTTTGTAAAACAGGTAAGTATAAAGCAGTATGTATGTTAAAGCTCATTTATGTAATATTTTCTGTAAGCACATAATATGTAGAGAGGGATCTAAACTAGGGGTGGACAAATCCTAAAGCTTTTTTAGGGTTTGTGGGTCACACGTGATCTCTTTAGAATATTTTTGTCTCTTTTTTAACATAACCCTTTATTTTATATTTTTTGAGATGGAGTTTCGCTCTTGTTGCCCAGCCTGGAGTGCAATGGCACTATCTTGGCTCACTGCCACCTCCGCCTCCCAGGTTCAATCGGTTCTCCTGCCTCAGCCTCCCTAGTAACTGGGATTACAGGCATGTTCCACCACACCCAGCTAATTTTGTATTTTTAGTAGAGACAGGATTTATCCATGTTGGTCAGGCTGGTCTGGAACTCCCAACCTCAGGTGATCCACCCACCTCGGCCTCCCAAAGTGTTAGGATTACAGGCGTGAGCCACTGCGCCCCACAGCATAACCCTTTAAAAAGTAAAAAACGTTCTTAGCCTGTGTTCTGTACAAAAACAGGCTTTGGGCCAGATTTGGCTAACCTTTTATCTAGATTAATACTAACCTAAATATCAACTATGGTTATTTCTGTTTTTAAATTTCTTTATATAGTTTCTGTATTACTTAAGCTTTTAAAAGCAGTGAACATATGTTCTTATAATCTGGTGGGGGGTGAAGCTATTTTCATTTTGGAGGGAAAAACCTTATCGTTTGAGAGGAGCTTTTATCTTCTACGAAGTGAATAAAATTATTCATTTTTTATGTATTTATCAACTGTATTATTTAGTACCTACCATATTGCTTTCCTTATAGGCTCAACAGTCACTGGAGCTTATCCAGTCAAAAATAGTAAAAGCTGCTGGAGACATTACTGTTATTGAAAATAGTGATGTTTCCCCAGAAACGGTATGTATTTTCTTCATCCCCAGATCTCTGAGCTAGTTACCTTGTGACCTGTGTGAAGAACAAAAATGCATAAGGTCCGTCTCCTAAAGTCATCTTTCTTGAAAATATCCTGTCCCTAAAATGTAGTGATGTTTGATCTCATTTTTGCTTAGTGAGGTATGTTAATTTTAAGGTTTGTGTTGAGAGGTATGGAGCAGTGGTCTCCAATCCCTGGACTGTGGACAGGTAACAGTCAGTGGCTTGTTAGGAACCAGGCCACACAGCAGGAGATGAGTGGTGGGTGAATGAGCATTACTGCCTGAGCTCTGCCTCCTGTCAGATCAGTGGCAGCATTAGGTTCTCATAGGAGTGCAAACCCTATTGTGAACTGCATGCTCCTTATGAGAATCTAATGCCTGATGATGTGAGGTAGAACAGTTTCATCCCGAAACCATCCTCCCTCACCCATCTGTGGAAAAATTGTCTTTCACAAAACTGGTCCCTGGTGCCAAAAAGATTGGGTGTCACTGGCTTAAAGTATAGATTCTGGAGCTAGACTGCCTACGTTTGAATCCTGGCTCTGCCACTTAGTAGCTATGTGAATTTGGGCAAATCTTTAGCCACTCTGTGCTTTAGTTGCCCCATCTGTAAAAGGCAATGAGAATAGTACCTATCCTGTAGGGTTTTTGAAAGAAGTAAATGAGTTAATACATAAAAACACTTAAAATAGTTAGTACTTACAACAGTGCCTGGCACTTACTTAGTAAGAGCTCAGTATATATTAACTTTTTTTTTACTGTTTGGAGTGTGCTTTCTTTTGTGGGGCAAATTTTTTCTCTGAAAGAAAAAATGGATATATTTCTGATAGTCATAGATTCTAGATTTTTTTTTTTTCTTTTGTGGCCAAGTGACAACATTTATAATGCAGTTTTCTTTGGTGCCAACTAGTTTGCACCACTAGTTAGCAAACAGTATTTCTCTGTGTGTTTTTTGCTGTTGTTGATTTTCATGTCATTGTTCAGATTTTTAAATGTTTGTATTTAAATCAGCAATATAACATTTTCTGTTGTTTGGTTGTACATTTCTTTTCCTTGTGTATGGAGTTTATCATCACTTCCATCTTCTTTTCAGGAGTCTTCTGAGAAGGAGACAATGTCTGTAAGTCTAAATCAGACTGTAACACAGTTACAGCAATTGCTTCAGGCAGTAAACCAACAGCTCACAAAGGAGAAAGAGCACTACCAGGTGTTAGGTAAGGACAAATGAAATATTGTTGTCTATGGGTAATTGACATTAGGTGTATATGTAATGTATATTTACATAAATAAAGGAAACTCACTTCACTAGAGGAAATATTCCTTCTTTATCTCTCTCAGAACTTCCAGACAATAGCCTTTAGCTTTCTTGGAGCTTTAGTTCTATTTTGTGCATATTTTGAAGGTCTTGTAGCTTGGAGGGGTTATCTTTACCTCCTTTGACCTTTGTATCAAACAGATTCTCTTGTAACTTGGCTGCCTGGGTTTGTGTTTGTTGCCTTAATACCTGCAACTGCTTCGGTAGTTGATTCTGTCCGTGACCTTTTCTCCCCTCTCCCTTCCTTCTTCCTTTTCTCCCTCCCAAAATAAAATGACCATAACATTTTAACTGAGGTAAGATTGCTGAACTGAAAGTAAAGTCACCACATTTTCTTAAAATTGAAAGCTGATTTTTATTTAAGTTTGCTTTTGTTAGGTAACCTAAGAAATTCATTCATTAGCTCCTGAAGTGAGATTTTTACTTGAGGATAAGTAAACCCGTAATTAACCAAGTCGTGTTACGAGCTTTTATTGTCTATTATTACCTTGGAAGGGCCAGGTTTGGTAGCATTTTAAAATGACTTGTAGTCTAGCTGGTGAGTGCAGTTTTTGTTTTTCTGGTTGTAGGTTGTTTTTTTTTTTTTTTTTCCAGTTGCTACCTGGATTTTACCTGTTTTATGAATAACTGAAGTCACACTGCCTAGAGCGTAATTAGAGTATTCAAATGTGCACTGGATACTTCAGATATTCTTCTTTTGAAGCTATTTTCTCTAAAATAATCCTGATATGCTGGAGACCCTGAGGGGCAACTCATCACTGAATTATCCCTTTCAGAACCTCTGATAATACTGTGTTGGGCTATACAAGGCCTCAGGGAGAGCTTAGGTGTCCTGGAAAAGTTGGGATGGACTTCCATTTTGATGTTACAGGAGCATTTTGTCTCACTTTAGAGTGATCATCCTCTGGCCTGCCTTGACACATGCTCTCCCTCAAAGTGCTAATTCAGGTCAGTTATTTCAAACATGACTTTCCATACAGTAAGCCCAGCATATCAGCAAAAGTAATTAAGCCTCATCCCAAATCTTTTATCCTTGGTAAGCTGACTTCTCCAGCTTCCCAGTGTAAAAATTCTGCCACATTTCCTCACTTTTCCAAATTAGGAAATAACCTTGCTTCCTAGGGAAACTGTTCCATCTCTCCTTCCCAGGACTTCAGCCTTATTCTTTCCACTGGCTGCCTCTGTTCAGTCTTGAAAACATGCCCAGATGGCTTATTTTAACCTTGTACTTCCTTCAGGTTACCACCCTTATTTTTGACTTTTTTACTGTTTAGTATTCTTAAGAAAATACTCTCTTAGTATCTACTTATTTATTGTTATTGATTACTTTATCTGCTCTAGAATGGCTTTTCTTCCTGCTATTCCAATGAAATCATTTTTGCAAAAATCATTAATGATCACTAATTGCTAGATCCAGTATAGGCCATTCTTTTGCATATGATAAGATACTGAAAGTACTTATGAAATATGTCAAAAATGCTGACATTAGACCTTTGTGTTATAAGGGAAGGGTTTCATTTCTAGAGAGCTTAAACAATGAAAAGATTGCCTATTATCCTTGCTTTTAGACCTAAGCAATATTCTCTCCTTAGCGTCTCATAGGTGTTCTTTAATGTTTTCCTTTTCTTCCTAAATACATGTAGTCTACTCATTTTAAGTCTTAGGAACTATTTTTGGCTTGTCTGTTGCCACATTTGTTTTAATTGTATTACATTTGAGACTTATATGAGTCATTGTTATTAACACTTTTTCTTCTTGATTTAGAAAATTGTAGTCATTTATTAAAATATATCTGTATACCCTCACAACACAGTTGGCAGGCAGCTCCCCTAAGTGATAGCGCAACATTCTTTTGTCAGCTGATAAACATAAGTCCAAGTTTGGCAAGTGCGTGGTTGACAGTATTATATCATGAATGATAGGCTGGATTGTTATGAAAATAGAGGCCCACCAAGCACTCTTTTTTTTTTTTTTTGAGATGGAGTCTCGCTCTGTAGCCCAGGCTGGAGTGCAGTGGCCGGATCTCAGCTCACTGCAAGCTCCGCCTCCCGGGTCCACGCCATTCTCCTGCCTCAGCCTCCTGAGTAGCTGGGACTACAGGCACCCGCCACCTCGCCCGGCTAGTTTTTTTTGTATTTTTTAGTAGAGACGGGGTTTCACCATGTTAGCCAGGATGGTCTCGATCTCCTGACCTCGTGATCCACCCGTCACGGCCTCCCAAAGTGCTGGGATTACAGGCTTGAGCCACCGCGCCTGGCCAACACCAGGCACTCTCAAACTTCATTCCTTAGGCTCTACCTGGCATTGACGTTGATAATTCTTCCGTATGCACTTATGTTTTGGTTCCCATAGCTCTTCTTTATACCCTTTAAATGTTTGTGTTACCCTCAGGTTTTTATCCTTAGCTATCATTTTTGCTACATATATTCTCCCTCCTGTGTACTCTATTTAAACTGACATGAGATAATTAAATTGAAAATACACATTTCTTAATCATTGGAATGTAGGTAGTAGGTTAGTATATCTGATGTCAAGAAACCTTTAAAAATATACACAAGTACATATGAATTGTTTATGATAATGCTGCACATATTTCAATAAAGGGAGAGTTGTTTTTAAAAACAAATATGTAAGAGATAATATGCAGTAATATAGTTTTTCTAAATCCTGATGCATAATATTTAGCATTTCTTAGAGCTGTAGGGGTAGGTGTATTTAACTGATATCTTTAATTTGTGAAAACTTTTCTTTTGGAATTTTTTTTTCCCGTTGCCTATTTTTCCTCCCCCCGCCCCTCCCCCCAATCAAAAAAAGAAAAGGCTACCATCTTCCTCTTTCCATTTGGGGGGTTGGGAGATTAAGATACCTTTTATATGAATTGACAGTATTGGCATTTTATAATATACTTTTTTGTTCCCAGATATCTACTCTTTTTGTTTCACATTTGCCTGGTTTCTAAGTATTCTAGGTGTGTTTCTAACCAAATGGGAAAACTTTATTATCCCAGGTTACCTTATCTTGGAACCAGTTTGTAGAATCCTGTTGAGGGAGGATGATAATTTAAATAGCTGATACTTCATGAGTATGTCTGTAAGCATAAGCATGCTTCCAACATGTAGCAACTCGTTTAACTTCTTCACAACCACCCTGTGCGTTAGGTAGGTAGGTAGTATTATTCCCATGTTGCAACAGACCCAAAGAGATTCTATAACTTGTCCATGGTCATACAGCTAATAAATGGATGAGCTGGGGTTTAAATCAAGGTAGTTTGGGCACAGGGCTTGTGTTCTTAATCAGTGCTTTTCTTCTCCCTAATTCAGGCACTGTGTTCCCTGATCCCTTTTGTCACTGTTTTCTTTTCTCCTCATTTTGTCTTTTTTTTTTTTTTTTTTTTTTTGGCCAGCCTCTTACAAGTTTTGTCAGTCGATTCTGACTTTTTCCTAAAGTTGATATTTGATTTATCAGTAGTGTATTGGAGAGGCTTACAGTATTATCCAGAAGAAATGGAGGTGAAGCTCTGTGTGTGCTCTCTGTACTCCCTGTAGCAAATAGATTCTTATGTGATTCGGTCATCTGTTGTTTCTGAAAGAAAAAGTCCTTTCATAGTGCTCCTGAAGTACAAGAGTTAATGCTGTGGAGAAAAACTTATCTTATTTCTACACTGAACCTTGGCTATCATATGGATCAGGTTTTCATTTTCAGTAATATGTTTACATAGCACTTTAGAGTTTAATGTCCTAGTGATCTTTTTAGACTTTCCGATCAACTGTTAATAGCCAGGGATAACTTTGCTTTTTAATTTTCTAATTGCTTCTTTTCTCTAAACTTTTTATTTTGAAAAATTTCACACATAAAGTTGAAAGAATAGTATAGCACCCGTAAACCCTCCACCTGCTTCATCTCTTTCTATACGTCTACATATTTTGTTGTTGTTAAACTAATTGAAAGTAAGTTTTAGTCATTATAACATTTTATCTCTAAGTACTTCAGCATGCATCTCCGAAAACAAGACATTGTTTTACCAACCAGTGGTACCATTATTACATCCAAAAAGAGGAAACAGTAGTTACATACTATCCAATATTAAACTTTTATTCACATTTTGTCAGTTGTACCGAATATAACTTTTTAACTCTTTTCCCCAAACTAGAATCCAAGGCAAAATTTAACATGTTGTGTTTGGTTAAGTCCTCTTAGTCTCTCTGATGGCTTTTGAAGTTTAATTTCTGTAGTCATCTAACTTAGAAAACTTCGTATGACCTAAAAAAAAAAAAAAAGTATGTCTGCTCCTTTAAATTATTTATTCACTGGGGTAAGATTGTATTCAACCTCTTTTCAGTGCTACTCAATCACTTTAGCTTTACATTCTCTTAGTAGGACTAATAAAAATGGATTACCAGTGTTGTTCTCTTAAATGTTTTCTAACATAATTTGGCTCACATTTAAAAATACCTACCTAAAAGCTTGTTTCCTTTGAATCCTGAGATTTTTCTCATTTTGGTTACCATTAGTGTGAATTGCTTTGAGCCTAGTTCAAAGGGTCATGCTAGATCAAATGGAATATGTACTTTTGGTGTTTGACAGATGTCTTCTGATTGCCTTCTGTTGCTTTGTTTTAAAGTGAAATTCATTCTTTCTGATCTTTTACAGAGTGAAGTAATTGGGAAACTGTTCATTTGAGGATAAAAAAGGCATTGTATTATATTTTGCCAAATTAAAGCCTTATTTATGTTTTCACCCTTTCTACTTTGTCAGAAACACTGAACAGAGTTTTGTCTTTTCTAATCCTTGTTAGACTACTGATTTAAAGAAAGAAAAAAAAAAGCCAACTCTGTAGACACCTTCAGAGTTTAGTTTTATAATAAAAACTGTTTGAATAATTAGACCTTTACATTCCTGAAGATAAACATGTAATCTTTTATCTTATTTTGCTCAATAAAATTGTTCAGAAGATCAAAGTGGTAAAGACAATGTAAAATTTAACATTTTAATACTGATGTTGTACACTGTTTTACTTAACATTTTGGGAAGTAACTGCCTCTGACTTCAACTCAAGAAAACACTTTTTTTGTTGCTAATGTAATCGGTTTTTGTAATGGCGTCAGCAAATAAAAGGATGCTTATTATTCAAACTTGACTTGTTCTAATTTTTATTGAGCTTTAACAATTTCATTAGTAGTACAGATCATTATAATTTAGAATACAGCTATTAATTGCAACTATTCAACAAGGTAGGTTTATGTAGCTTCTATAACCTTTCTAACTGGTGCTGTGGGTCCTCTTCAGTTTGGTCCAATGTAAAGTGCCCAGGAGTGCTGGGATTTCAGAAAGGACAGAGCAAGCATTTAGGATTTCAGACTTACCACCCACATTTCAGGTAGAGGAGCTCTATTTTTACCATTTCTATAATTTTTTTTGAAGTAATAATAATTAACTTTTAGTTTTTCAGGCACTGTTACACAGTTTAGATGTGTTATCTTTTTTGTTGACAGTTTCGTCGTCGTTACTGTTTTTTGATAGAGTCTCACTCTGTTGTCTAGGCAGGAGTGCGGTGGCGTGATGTGGACTAACTGCAACCTCCACCTCCCAGATTCAAGAGATTCTCCTGTAGCTGGGATTACAGGTGTGCGCCACCATGCCTGGCTAATTTTTGTAGTTTTAGTAGAGAGGGGGTTTCACCATGTTGGCCAGGCTGGTCTTGAACTGCTGACCTCAGGTGATCCACCCATCTTGGCTTCCCAAAGGGCTGGGATTACAGGTGTGAGCCACTGTGTCTGGCCGATGAAAGTTTTTTTAATAATTGGTTAAAAACACTTCAGATGCTAATTAACTACTGAGAAATACTTTGTGCCATTCAGTACTAAAGTACCCATGAGGCTGTACTGTGGTCATCTGGTTATTTTTGTGCACGTAACAGTCATGCTTCTGTCATGGGGCCTTTGCATTTACTGTTCTCGGGGCTTGGAACTCTCCTCTGGTATGTCAGCTTTGGCTTGCTCCTTCACTATGTTGAAATCTGCTTAAATGTCACCATTCTCATTAAGTCTTTCCTGACTATCTACTATCCTTCCTGCCCTCCCTATTCTACTTTATTGTCTGTCATACTTGATATCTACTCCCCTTGCTCCCATCAGTAAGGAAACTCCACAAGGGCAGGAAATATATCTTTGGTTCTTTGCTGTATCTGTAGCCTGAGACAGTGCCTGATACTTCATTGTGCTCAACTATTTAAATGAATGAATGGATAAAATTCATTTTTGGAGATTGAAGATTATCTAAAGTGGTGTTTCCTAACACTGCACATACGGTATTTCTAAGGCATATAGAAATCAACTGAAGTGACTTCTTAGGGCCAGTGAGGACTGGTGTGGGGATTCACGTTACCTTTTGCTACCTTTGCTGCTTTCAGCAAATCATTGGGAAATTGATCTGAAGGTCAGATATCATATCAGCCTCTTAACTTTGTCCTTTGCCATTGCCTAAAGGTGCTCATGTTGCTGCCACCTGTAACAAATTCTGCCTTCCAAGTTATGGTGTCTTCTTACTACTCTTTCTCTCTTCAGAGCTAAGTTCCTCAGAAGAATTGTGTAATTCTATTATTTTTTCAACCTCTCTGTATGTTTTAATTAAAAAAAATAAATGTTAAAGGACTCTGGGGACACAGTCCAGTCTCCTGTCAGTTTGTGTCCCTTCCCTCAACATCTCAACTTTACAGTCATTCATCTTTTGCCTCTGAAGTAGCAGGAAGTTCACAACATTGCCTTTTCTAACTTGACAGCTCTAATTGTTAATGGTTCTTGTATGACATTAAAAGTTGTGTCCCTGATACTTGCATCAATCTGTCCTTTCTTACTACAGAATCACATAGGAAAAAGCTTATCACACTCTCAGTGATTGTTCAGATATGCAAAGATAATTCTGTGCTCTACGTTCATTCCCCTTACAGTTAAATATTCCCAGCTCCTTAGTTGCACTGAGTGCTTAAAGGCCAAACTAGCCTCCTTGCCTCATTAATCCCCGACCGTTCACCTTCTCCCAGTATATTACAAACCTGTCTCCAGGAGAGGAAGGGAGCGTCAAAAGAGAAGGAATCCTGTACCATCAAACTTGAATGGCTCTCCTTGCCACTATCACAGTCTACTGAGGCAGAAAGCCCTAAGAAAATTACACAGTGAAGAAAGCTTACAGGAAGAGAATAACGAATAGTCAGGGGCAGACTTCTTAATCCCCAAAAAGAGAAGAGAGAGATGTGGAAGGGAGGAGTGGGGATGCCTGTGAAACTGGCCGTACCCTTGGGTTTGGTGTAGGAAAACTAATTCATTTCCTGGAGGTAGTGATATTGTGTAAAGCATCCAGGCTTGAGCTGTCTTGCTTGTGTTTCACTCTAGCTGCAAGAGGCTATGTGGTGTATAGCTGTGGGCAATAGCTGTATTGCTTACAGAGTTACAGCTAGATTTTTCATGTGTCTTGCATCCCAGGACAGAGACTGCATATGGGAACCTGCCACTTGTGGAATCTGCCCAGGATGAGATGTAGGGAGAAGCAGTTACCACCAGAAGGAGGCTGCAGTTACACCCTCGGTTAAGACATGTTTGTCCCTTGACCTCATTTGGGTCCCCAGAAAAGGGAGGGCAAAGGAGGAATGAAAGAAAAGATGATTCCTTGTTGACATTATTAAAGCCAGGGGGCAGATGGGAGATGGGTTATTACACTGGATTGGACTGGACTTGTATAACCAAAGTTACAGAACAGCTGTTGGGTCTGCTTAGGATGTCCAGAAGAGGGAGACTCCGCAAAGCATGGTTGAAGACCATGGTTGGGAAAGGACACTAAGTTCTTAGGCTGTTCTGCAACCTGAGTGGTAGATTTTTTTTCTTGACAAAATTTTTGTTTTATTTTCCTAAAAAATCTGGCCATTTTATATTTGTTGGCAGAGTTCTACCAGGCAACCAATGTGCTACTTGTACAACCTATCACATGCCAGACTTTTTTTAAGCAGTTACGTTAGTTCATTTAATCTTTCCTAGAGTTTAACTGGCCAGGGGATTGTGCTTTCATCATCATCATTTTATAGATAAGGAAACTAAGGCACAGGGAGGATAATTAAATTATCCAAGGTCTCACAGCTACTAAGTAGAGGAACCAGGTTTCCAACCTCCAACCTAAGCTGTCTGGCTTGATTGCCTTATTTATACTCATTAAAAAAAAATATTTTGTATATATGTGTGTATGCATTTATAAATGTGAGTGTAACTATATATATAAATTACTAGAGTAATTTTTAAAATTAAGTATAGTCTAATTTTAAAAATTACTCATTTGTTCCTGATGTTAAGGTACCTTCTTTCATTTTGTCTTGATTCTACTTTGCAAGGGATTGCCTACCTTTGTGGTTCTCAAAAGTATGGTTTGCAGACCCCTGGGAATCTCTAAGACCCTTTCTAGGAGTTTGCAAGGGCAAACTTAATTTTCATAATAAGACATTATTTGCCTTTTTCACCATACTGACATCTGCACTGAATGGTGCCTCAGCAAGTGTTAAAGCAGTGGCTCCCAACTGTGGTGTTAGTTACTGTATTTACACCACTACTCACCCCAGTAAAAGTCCTGCTGCAATACCAAAGTCACCTGAGAATGTCGTCTGATGAGATCAGCAGTGATGGTAATGAATGTGGTTTTGTGATATGTGTAATGAAATGTGTCAACATTTGGAAGATCTGTATAACTCAGTGAACCAGTATCTTCCAAATGATCAATGCACAGTGTTACAAAGTCATGCGTGGGTGAAAGATCCCTTCAAAAAGCAAGACAGGGCTGGGCATGGTGGCAGGCACCTATAATCCCAGCTACTCGGGAGGCTGAGGTGGGAGAATCACTTGAGCCTGGGAGGCAGAGGGTGCAGTGAGCTGAGATTGTGCCACTGCACTCCAGCCTGGGTGACAAGAGTGAAGCTCCGTCTCAAAAAAAAAAAACAAAAAAAAAGGCAAGACAAACCAATGGATTTTAATGTAACAGTGCAAAAAGTTCATTGATATCGTTTCAAACTCCATATTGTGATTAATCTTTAATAAATTACCGCTTGAGTTTGACTGTAGCATTAAAGAATATCCACAGTTGTCTGAATGGCTGCTTTTTTTCCAAGGATATATGTCTGTGTGAGGCCAGATTTTTTTCATACACTTCAACCGAAACAACATATCACAACAGATTGAATTCAGAAGCAGTTGCCTTCTATTAGGCCAGGAATTAAAGAGATTTACAAGGCCAGGTGCAGTGGCTCATGACTGTCATTACAGCACTATGGAAGCCCGGAATGGGAGGATACCTTGAGGAGGCCAGGAGTTCAAGAGCAGCCTAGGCAACATAGGGAGACGCCTTCTCTACAAAAAAGATTTGCAAATATGTAAAGCCATGTCACTTTTCTCATCTTTTGAGTTTTGGAAAATGAAGTTATAGTTCATGAAAATATGTTCATTATATTGTTATTTTAAATTAGTAAACTTCCAATTTTCTTGGTTTTAATTTCTAGTACATTGAATATTGATAGAAACAACAAAAGTTTTTAAGTCTAAAGCAGTTCTGAGATCAAAAACTTGAGTCACTGATCTGGCATGTTGGTTTATTTTTCCAACAGTTTTAAATTATACTGGACAACCTGGCACTATTTTTTATGTATTTTGTTTTGTATTCAATTCATTTATGTTTTTATACTTTTCTTTTTATTTTCTTTGCCAACTTACCTGTAAATTTTAATTCATTTATTTTCAGTTCCTGTTTTCTAATAATTTAGGCTATACGTTTTCCTCGGGACTTCTTTACCTGCATCTCAGATTTTGATACATAGGTATTGTGTTGTATTCCAGTGTTGAAATACTGGAATCCATTGAAATACTCACAAATTTTTTTAATTTGTGAGTATTTCAAACATATAGAAAAGCATAGAAAATAAGAGAAAAAGCCGTGTTCCTCCACCTTCTGTTTGCTTGAATTTTTAAATAAAAGAAAACATTAGCTACAGTTGAAACATCTTGTAAAACCCCCATCCCATTTCCCTCCATTTTCGGAGGTAGCCACTGCACTGAGGCTGAGATTTGTCATTTAATTTCATGTTGTTATCAATTAATACCATAGGTAGGT